GCTGTACTGAAAAATAAAAAGAACAAATCTGCTTAAATTTGAATCACACAGAAATAAATAGTACTAACTAGTTTTGTGACTATTTCAAACATCTCTATACAGATATACAGATGGAAGAATTCATAGAGAGAGACTAATGTTATAAGATCAACTACAAATGCTGTTTTTTAAAAAAATAATTTTATTGGAAAAATAAACTGAAATTAAAGGAATTGCTAAACTTCTGACAATTCTTTAACACAACAGATATTTCTTTGTATATATACATATATATGTGTATTTTTTAATAAAGTAGAAAGAAATCCCTGAAGAGTTTTTAGCTGTTGTGTAGTTGTTTGCCACAAGATTCAACTTGATATTACTGATTGACTTTCTTCCATGTGAACGGCTTGGGCTGAATCCAATTAAGTATAGTCCTTGCTGGGAGGGGCCTGAAAAACTGTGAAATAATTTGTGCCTGGGGTCACTCTTGGCAGGAGTGTATTCTACTCATCTGGGCTTTTAATATCTTTCTCCCAAGAAAGTGGCACAGTGTCCTGGAAAACAGCAAGCCTTGGAAACCATTTCTGCCTTTGCTGAGATACCATAGTGTAGTATGTAGTTAGAGGCTTCAAGATGGATCTCGGCTGAAAGCAGAGAATACCAAGCAGGTATTTACCTGTGTTTTATTGACTATGCAAAGGCATTGGACTGTGTGGATCATAACAAATTATGGATAACATTGCGATGAATGGGAATTCCAGAACACTTACTTGTGCTCATTCGGAACCTGTACATAGACCAAGAGACAGTCTGAACAGAACAAGGGGATACTGTCTGGTTTAAAATCAGGAAAGGTGTCCATCAGGGTTATATTCTTTCACCATACTTATTCTGTATGCTGAGCAAATAATCCGAGAAGCTGGACTATACGAAGAGGAACACGGCATCAGGGTTGGAGGAAGACTTGTTAATGATCTGCGATATACAGAAGACACAAGTTTGCTTACCGAAAGGGATGAGTACTTGAAGAATTTACTGATGAAGAGCAGAGACTACAGTCTTAAGTATGGATTACACCTCAACATAAAGAAAACAAAAATCCTCAAAACTGAACCAATAAGCAACATCATGATAAATGGAAACAATATTGAAGTTGTCAGGGATTTCATTTTACTTGGATTCAGAATCAACGCCCAATGAAGCAGCAGCCAGGAAATCAAATGACATAGTGCATTGGGCAAATCTGCTGCAAAAGACCTCTTTAGAGTGTTGAAAAACAAAGATGTTACTTTGAGGACTAATGTGCGCTGACCCAAGCCATGGTCTTTTCAGTTACCTCGTATACATGTGAAAGCTGGGCAGTGAATAAGCTTAAGACTGAAGAATTGATGCCTTGAATTATGGTATCGGTGAAGAACATGGAATATACTATGGAATTCTAGAAGAACGAACAAGTCTGTCTTGGAAGAAGTACAGCCAGAGTGCTTCTTGGAAGCGAGGATGGCGAAACTGTCTCACATACTTTGGACATGTATCAGGAGGGACCAGTCCCTAGAGAAGGACATCATGCTTGGTAAGGTAGAGGGTCAGTAAAAAAGAGGAAGACCATCAGCGAGGTGGATTGACACAGTGGCTGCAATGATGGTCTCAGATATAGCAGCGATTGTGAGGATGGCGCAGGACCAGGCAGTGTTTCGTTCTGTTGTACATTGGGTCGCTATGACGGCACCTAACAACAACAGTAACAAGACATGGAATTTTCCCGTGAGTTTTCCTAGGGTTACTTGTTGACCCCTTCAGTTTACTTTTCTCCACACCAAAGGGTGTTAGAGAGTATTTTCTGGGTTTTGTGAACTCACCTTTCTTATGTACTGTTTCTTGTATATGTATACTTTTATTCATTTGCTAGATTGTAGAGAATGGATGTGTAGTGTGTGTGTATATTATGTACAACTTCTTGCTCCAAATGAGTAGCACATCATACCAATAATGTTTATTTGATAGTTCACACTTCCTATATGATTTGAAATAGCCAAATATGCTTTTTATCATCTGCTGATTTTTTTTTTTTTTCTGGTTCATTGGTCTGTTTGTCCCTAGCCTGCATCACATCATTTTAATTATTATCATTTATAGTGTGTTTTTATGATTTGGTGAAGCAAGTTTTCCTCTTCTTTCTCTTGTTTGGTTATTTTTAGTATTTTACTACTAAGAATAATACTGATATATATGTTCTTGTGTATGTCTTTTCCTGTATATATTTTTAACATAGATATGTAACAGTCTAAAATAAACCCATCTATCTTTATTCTCCTCTCAGACAGTAAGAGGACTACAGATGCTTTATTTAAATCCCATATACCCACCATTGTTATTGTTGTTGTTCTGTGTAGTCACTATTGTTTAGTTTTTTCCATATATTTACCAGTGCTTTGACCCATCCTTCTTCTTGCGTCTCAGACCTTCTATCTGAAAATTTTTCCTTCTACCTGAAGTCTTCTTCTACACTGAATCCTTAGAATTCCCTTTTAGGGAGAGTCTCTTGATGGTAAAGTCAGTTTTTGTTTATCTGAAAATATATTTATTTCATATTTGCTCTTAAGCATAATTTTAATGAATATATCATTATATGTTGACAGTTATTTTTGTTTGAATTTTGAAGATATTCCAGACTGTTGGCTTCTACTGTTGCTGTTGAAAAGTCTTTTTCTTTTTTTTTTTTTAGTTTAATCTGCCTAGGATTTACTGGGCTTCCTGATTTCAGGGCATTGGTTTGTCTCTACAAATCTGGGAAATATCTCTTAGAATATTGTTTCTTCGTTACTATTAGTATTATATTCTTTGAGAATTCTTATTAGACAAATGTTAGGTCTTCTCCCTCTTTTGTCTCTAGCTTTTTAACTATTCACATCTTTGTCTCTCCGCAGTACATTCTGGATGATTTTTTTTGAGCTCTTTCTGCTCCATTCTTTTGCATATCCTTTGAGTTTGTATTTGTTGAATAGGTACAAAAGAACATTTGTAAGGTGTAAAGAACTGTGATACAACGAACACCTATGTACTCACACCTAAATTCAGAAAAAGAACATTACCTTTACCTTGGACTCCTTTGTGTATTCCTCCCCATCCCTTTTCCCTCCCTGGTGGCGTGGAAACCCTGGTAGCATAGTGGTTAAGAGCTACGGCTGCTAACCAGAAGGTTGGCAGTTTGAATCCACCAAATGCTCCTTGGAAACCCTATGGGGCAGTTCTACCCTGTCCTATAGGGTCGTTATGAGTCGGAATCGACTTGAGGGCAACAGGTTTGGTTGTTTTGTTTTGTTTTTTGGTTTAGGGTAACTACTATTGTGGATTTTGTGTTTATTATTTCCTGGTTTTTTTCCATAGTTTTGCCAAGTATGTTTGTATTGATAGGCCGTATTTTTATTTTTGCATGTGTTTCAACTTTATATAAGTAATCATTCTGCATTTATTTTTCTGTTACTTTTATTGTTTAACATTATATTCTGTCATATCGTTGCATGTAGCTGTAATTCATTTTCATTGCTCAATTGAGTTTAAATTTTATTTATTTTATTTTTCATTTCTAGAAGTTCTGTTTTTTCCAAAATCTGCTCAGCCATTTTTCTTTATAATTTTTGAAGTTTTCATTATCTATAAATCTTTATGCTTATTTTATATTCTCTGATATTTGTAATATCTTTAGTTTTTCATAGTTTGATTCTGCTGGCTGTTGATCATGGTATCCTTGTATATTTTGTTATTTTGACTGTGAGCTCATTTTATTTGGAATTTTATCTTTGAGAATTATTTGCATTTCTAAAGTATATTTGGTTTTTCCATGGGTTGCTTAGAGCACTCCAAACCAGAAAACCCACTGCTGATGAGTCGGTTCCAACTCATAGCAACTCTGTAGGATAGAGTAGAACTGCCCCATAGGGTTTCCAAGGCTGTAAATCTTTATGGAAGCAGACTGCCACATTTTTGTCCTGTGGAGTGGCTGGTGGGTTCAAACCACCGACCAGTTTGGATTGCGGCTGAGTACTTTAACCACTGCACCACTAGGGCTTCCCTTGGAGCATTGCCAACCTGAAAATACGTCATAATAAATTCCTCATTTGAGGTTTTTCAGGTAAATTAGCTTGAATTCTAGTAACAAACTTGTGTGAAGGGAAGTTTTCTTTTTCTGAGTAGACTCAGAGCCATGGTCAAGATGGACAGCTTTATTGCTGCCCATTCTGCACAATGGATGTTTATCTCTAACTCACCTTCATGCTGATGATATGGCCCTCTGGAGTTTAGTGGATGGGGGGAGGCTACTAGCTTGCATTAGCTCCCATTAGCCCTAAGCTTTATCTTCTGCCTCTGTGAACCTCAGAGTTCTCAAAACAAGATCAGTGTTAACCAGGATTGGATTTGATAACTAACCCTCCAGGCTAAAGCCAGTTTACATTTCTCCCAGAATTCCTACCTTCTCTTCAAAAAGGTACCTTTGTATTTTAATCATTTTTGGTTGATTACAATGGAAGAGTCATTCTGTATGTTGAAAATGAAAGACAGTTGCATTTTTTTTTTCCTATATTCAGTTAATGTCAGGTACCAAACTCAGTTTCTAAAGTTACTGTGGGTTTGTACATTTTTCATGGGCTTCCCCAAAGAGATAATTTTTCTTAACATATCAGTTTTTCGTGTGTGTATGAAGTCTCTTTAAGAGTAGGTTGAGCAATAAGATGAATTGCATTGAACTAGTTTTCAAAGAATCTAGGGAGTAATGTATTTCCTTAGAACGACTGGCTTGATGAATATTTCCTAAGGCTGTTTGGGAAATATTTTCTTAGAAGAGAGAATGCCTGGGACCCAGATGTGTATATAGTATGTATTTTATAGTCAGGTTTTAATTTTAGTTATGTTACTTTTGTGAGTTGACTTTTTTCTTTTTTCTGATTGGAGATGATTAATCAAGTGTACTATAGTATAGGTATATCATTAACAATGTTATCTTTTTAAAATATTTACAGTGGAAGTATGCGAGACTTAACAGCACAAGTGACTAGTGGTCTCCTGCAATTCCCAGAAGTGACTATTCAAGCCCTTGGAGAAGATGAAATAACACTAGAATCTGTGCTTCGTGGAAAGTTTGCTACAGGTAAAATAATGTTGCTGAAAATTTAGTAATATTTAAGGTAAACAGTAATAAGTATGTATTGCAGTTTCTCTAATGTGGAAGAAAAAAGCAGAACTTGGGTAGAGTGGTCCCATATAAATATATGACATCTATGACCTTTTATAATCTAGAACACATTTTCAATGACTCTTTGGTTGGGGCTGTTACAGTTCATTTTTTGTTACTAAAAATCTGGATATATTTTGTGCTTTTTAGTATTAAGTATCTGTATTTGGGAAGTAGAAATGGTACACAACTGGCTCTTGTTGAATCAGTCGATAAGGTTTATTGGGGATGAGTTGGGATTAGAACCTAAACAGTCTTAACAAGTAGAAAAATCTGATTGTAGGACTCTAGGTTAAAAAAAAAATTTTTTTTATAGTCTTATTTTTTTATTCCATTAGTCTGAACTATGGCCTAGATGGTATAATATAGCAGAGAACCATACCAAAGAGGCCATTATATTAGGATTTCAGTCTAGTGAAAGATACTATAGAAGAGTTTTCTGAAAATCAGTTTTTTAGCTATCCTTCTCCGCAGGAAGGCAGCAAAGCATATCTATCAGTCATTTAGCCATTTTCAATGCTATTCTCTTGAATATTAAAAGTAGTAACAACATTTACTATATACCAAGCGTTGTGACAACTTTTCATTGAGGTAGGTATTTGAATTTTCTCAGTAAGCAGTCTTCTACTTAGCCAAGTCTCTCTGTAACTTGATCCCAGGTACACAGATAGCAATGGCAGAAATGCACTTTGAACTCAGGCAGTCTGGATCCCCAGTGTGCCATGCTACTTCCTTAAACTGTATAGCCTCTCTCAGCTGTAATTTAGTAGATCCACCTGTCTACTTGATATTTTCACTTGGGTACATGATATATATTTGAAATTTAATAGTATAAGTTACTCCAGCAAAAATTCAGGATTCGTTCTTGATTCTTCTCTTTTGCTTAGCTTCTCATATCTAATTTACCAGCCAGTAAATCCCTTTAGTTCTACCTCTAAGATGAATCTACAGTCAGTCCACTTCTAGCTATCCAGTCACGGGTATCTTCTTCCTACTTCTACTCTGTGCTTCCCCCTATTGTGCATTGTCTGCATAGGAGCTGGTGTAACATTTAAAAAATAAGTCAGATTGTCACGTCCCTGCTTAAATCTCTGGTGATTTTAAGTTGCATGCAGAATAAAATGCAAACACACTAGTAAGAGGCCAGAAGGGCTTCTGATACTTCTAGTGTTGCACTAGTTATGTCTTGTCTTCTCAATTAGATTGTAAACTCTTCAGGAAAAGAATTATGTGTTACAACTACCATAGCTCCTAGTTTAAATTCTTTAAGGTATAATGTAGTTAAAGTATGAGTTTTGGAGTTAAACTTAGGATCCACTTTGGCTTTCCTGCTTTGTAGCTGTGTGACTTTGAGCAAGTTATTTAACCATCTTAAGCTTTAGTTGCTTTATCTCTATGTTGAAGTGTGATAAGGAATAAATGACATAGTATATTTAAGCATATAGTATGGTGCCTGTACTGAATGATTATTTTCATTATCGTAATATTACTTGCTCATTTTTTTGACTAATTGACGGCCACTCTTTATAAATGCTTAGATTTCAATTTGGGGATAACACGTGAAATTTTATATAATCAGCTATATACTGTATATTTCAAGGAGCCCTGGTGGCACAGTGGTTAAAGCGATTGACTGCTAACCGAAAAGTCAGCGATTTGAAACCACCATTGGCTGTGCGGGAGAAAGATGTGGCAGTCTGTTTCCATAGAGATTTACAGCTTTGGAAACCTTATGGGGTCACTATGAGTTGGAATTGATTTGATGGCAGTGGGTTTGGTTTATACTATATATATGTAAAAGAGCTAACTGCTATTTAGTTTTGTGTGTGCATACAATATTAAAATAAGTTGTTTTTTTGCTTTTTTTTTTCCTTCTAGGGAAAAGTGGACTTGCTTGCTTGGCTTGTGGTCCACAACTTGAGGTAGTAAACTCTGTAACAGGAGAGCGCTTGTCTGCGTATAGATTTAATGGCGTAAATGATCAGCCTCCTATAGTCCTAGCAGTGAAAGAATTCTCTTGGCAGAAGAGAACTGGATTGTTAATTGGATTGGAAGAAGCAGAAGGGAGTGTTCTCTGTCTTTATGACCTTGGCATATCAAGAGTGGTTAAAGCAGTTGTTCTTCCAGGAAGGGTAGGTATTGTTTAAGGCAACTAGACATTTCTGTTGTTAAATCTGAACACTTACTGGTTACATGGGTGTGTTTACTTTGAAAATCCAATGAGTTGTTATTATAATTAATGTATGTTTATGTATGTTATTCTTCAAGAAAAAGTTTTTTACAAAGAGGTTAAACTCATAATATGTTACAAGGGAGTTGACATTTAAAATACAGCTTTCTTCTTGGTTAGAAAATTCCAAAGTAAAAGTAATGATGACATGACATGTAGTGTTCTAATACTCTTTTATATGAAGGGAATCATCTGAGTCACATTCTTATCTCCAGTTGTGTTTTATGGGGACACTGAAAGTTTATAAAAACATACTATATTCATTACAATGGTATTTTTAAAGTGTGTCTTTTTTCCTTTGCGACTATAGCCAGATATCTGGAAAACATGTCTTCACTGCTGTTTAAGGTTTTAGTAATATATTTAAATAATGGATTCATTAATAATTGCCATTTATTAATTCTGATATATGTATGCTTTCTGTATGTCAGACACCTATTAATAGTAACATAGAAGTACTTTGAATTCTGGATTGTTTCGTCAGCGAGTTTATTGCTGCTCTTCCTGTACATGAGAGAAAAAAGTATACACTTAAATACATACACATAAAATCATATAAGAATAAAATTCTTTCTATACACGATGTACACGTTCTTTCTATACATGATATGTAAAAGGTATATACTTACATACAAATACGTATGTATGCATGTTTGCATATGTTTGTATATGTATATATATATAATCGTAGAAGAATAGAATTTTTAAAGTTAAAAGGGATCTAATGACAAAATAACATGTTTTTATAGATGAGGAAACTGAGGTTGAGTGAGATAATGGGGTAGACTGAAATAGTTTATAGCCTGATATATGTATTATACTTGCCAGTGGTGATAGACTAGAGTGAAAAAAGAGATTTTAGACGCAGAATTAATTTAGCAATTTATTAATGCTTACTATGAATTGGAGCCCTGGTGGCACAGAGGTTAAGAACTATGGCTGCTAACCAAAAGATCAGTTCAGACCCACCAGCTGATCCTTGGAAACCCTATGAGGCAGCTCTACTCTGTCCTATAGGATTGCTATGAGTCAGAATTGGGTTCGCTTTTGGTTGGTACTGTGAATCAAGCTATGTGCTAGATTCTGGGGATACATAGATGAATTGAAGTTGGTCCGTACTTCCCAAGAGCTTGTAGTCAAGTGGGAAAAAACAGATTACAGCATAAATATGATAAGTACTTTGATAGATTTAAGGACTTCGAACAGGGAGAAAACCTGGATAATTTCTGCTTGAAAGGGTTGGGCATTTCCGGCAAAGAGTAGCATGTACAAAGTCACACTAACACGAAGCATTTGGGAAACTTCAGGCTTAATTTAGAATGGCTGGAGGCAGGGTAAGAGGGAGAGTGGGGGTCAGAGATGGTGAAGATTCAAATTGTGAATGACCTTGTTTGCACTTAGGGGCCTCTTCCTAAAGTCTGTGGTGAAGTCATTTTACATTTTAAGCAGAACTCTAGTGTGTAAAATGCTCCTTAGATTGGAATGTGAAAATAGAAGCAAGGAGACTGGTAGTTTGGGCAAACAGTGAGAGGAACTGAACCAGGGAAATGACAGAAATGGAGAACGTGGTCCAGATTCAGAATACATTCAGGAAGTAATGTGGACAGTGCTTGGGGATCATTTGGATAAGGTTAACTGAAAAGTATCAAGAGTTAATAAGTTTCTGGCTGCTCATTTGGGTGAATGGTTAGTTTCATTATTATGGAAGAAGGCATATAAGACAAGGAAAAAATTGGGTGAGTAGTAATAGATACATTGAAAAGAAATTCAGCCAGCCAGCTAGCTATTTTTTTTACTAAGACAATAGTACCTCTTCAGTTTGTTTGCTTTATACTGCCTTATTCTAAAATTAGGTAGCATTGTCAGTCATTTCATATAATTTGTATAAGGGATGCAAACAGACATATTCCTTATCCCTCACAGAGGCAATTGGAAAGAATATACTTTATTATAATTTATAGACATTATTGCCATAATATAGAAAAGGAAGAAAATCCATGAAATTACAGCTTTCAGATTAGTGTCAGTGATCTAGAAGCTGCCAAAACTTTGTGTGAAATCCATTATTATATAAACCTTTTAAAGAAGGCTAGACCTCTGTAGGCTTTAAGACATAAACAGGACTTAAGCATCTTGTGTTTAGAGATTTTTTTTCTTTTAAGGGTAAACAGTAAATTTTTCTGGAGTGAATCGTTTTTATTCTTCCTTAAGAGTAGAGGCAATATAATCATAGAGTGGCTGGTTAAGAGCTTTAATGTTGGAAGAATTTAGGTTTGAGTTTTAACTTCATGACTGCATGACTTCAGTAACTCAGCTAACCTTTCTAAGTCTCAGATAGTTCCATCTTTATCACAGATAATTACATAATACACCTGTTCCTCACCAGCTATCTCTTTACACGACATTTAGCATTTATGACAATAGTAAAAAATCTGCTGTCCGACTATTTTGCACGTTAACAATATACGGCTGGCAGTAATGAACGCTGAGGTGCGAGGTGAAAGTAATGCTGGCTATGATGGTTACGTGTCCACTTGACTGGGCCGTGATTCTCAGTGGTTTGGCAGTTATGTAATGGTATAGGCATCCTCCATTTTGTGATCTGGTGTGGTCATCCTAAATTTTCACATAATGCCAATTTTCGAGTAACAACCTGGTCTTTGGAACCTAACCATGTCGGTAAGTGAGGAGTGGATGTAGTCCAATATCAAAGGGTTATCGTAAACATTAAATGAGCCAGTTAGCACAATGCTGGGCACATAATAAGATCTCAGTAAACATAATTTATTATTTCTGATTGTGTAGTGTTTTTATATATTGATAATAGTGCAATTCCTAATACATCTGATGGTTTCATGATGTTATTCAGATTAACAGTATTAAATGCAAATTTATGGTTCTATATTTGAAAATAACTGTATTTGAAAATGGAGCCCTGGTGGTGCAGTGGTTAAGCACTCAGCTGCTAACCAATAGGTTGACAGTTCCAATCCACCAGCTGCTCCTTGGAAACCCTATGGGGCAGTTTTACTCTGTCCTATAGGGTCTCTATGAGTTGGAATCAACTCAGTGGCAGTGGGTTTGGGGGGTTTTTTTGGTTATATTTGAAAATAGCAGTATTTGAAAAGCTGTTAACTGATAATCTGACTTAATTTCAAAATTTGTTGTGTTTTTACTTTTATCACTTCATAGAAGAAAAGCAAATCATATATTCTGCCTTTTAGGTAACCGCTATAGAACCTATAATTAATCATGGAGGAGCCAGCGCAAGCACTCAGCATTTACACCCAAGTCTGCGATGGCTTTTCGGTGTGGCGGCTGTGGTAACTGATGTTGGACAGATCCTTCTTATTGACCTGTGTTTGGATGACTTGTCATGCAGTCAGAATGAAATAGAGGCATCAGGTAATTAGTCATTCTTGAAACAAAAAGTTGAGTACCTGAAAATTCTGTTACAATGGATTGGTTTTAAAAAATAATCGAAACATTTTATGTGGAAGCTTGTTTATGGATTTCTGATTCTTTTATTGTTTGAACTGGGCACTAAGGTAGCTTTTGCATGAATTATTCTTTATTGATGAAGTATGCATACACTAAAGTAAATCATAAAAGAGGTAGGGGTTTTTTGTATTTCCAGATATTCATTCGAATAAGATCTATTATTAAATGAATGCCTCAAGAAGAACTAAAGGTATAAAATTTTGATCTTTATCAGCCAATACAAAATTATTCAACCATATAGGATCTAATGTAGTGTTTTTGGTATACTGTTTATGTTCTGTGGTAAGACCAAGATAGAAATAAAGTTATTTAATGGGAACTAACAGTGTAGTGTTCCTAAAGTTGAATGTTTTCCTCACAAAATAACACCTTAGAATGCTACTCAGATTGAAAGAAAGTAAAGAGACAAATTTTTCCTCTTTAACACTAATACTTGTATTTATGAGTCTACTCTTGTCAAATGCTTTCAGTTTTTTGTTTATTTAAATTATTATTGGACTCTTGATTGGTTTATGTAGAAAGAGCTAACCTAAAAACTCTTAAAAAAATCGTTGTGTTTTTACAAGTTTTCAGACAAAGCAGAAAAGGACCATTTTACCATGAAAAGGTGTTGACCCTGAGGACTTCCTTGACTGTTAAAGCAGTCCTGGAATATCCATGGGGATCTGTTCACTTAGGGATCAGCCAAGAAATAGACACAAACTATCAGTATTTTATCCAGTTTATAATGAATGAACTAGTAGAAATTATCTAAACCTGGTTAATTAAAACTACAGGTGGTAAAAAAATTGCATTTGACCAGAAGTTGACTGAGGAATCAAATCATCTGAACAGAATTTAAATCTGCAAAATACAACCCAAAAAAATTTGATTTGGCAGACAGTAATGACCATACATACACTTAAAAAGAAATGGTGAGTGGTAGAAACTATAATCTGTAAATTTTGGTATGTATAAATTCTGGATGAAGTTGAAATGGAAGGAGAACTGACTAATGAAAACAACAGTTAACTAAAAATGAATTTGGAAAATATTAGAAAATAGCTTAACTGCTTTTTATAGAAAATAGGTCGAGGAATTACATGGGCTTACTGGAGTTTTATTCTAGAGTGTGCTTTGTCAGTGATATTACAAATGTAAGGCTAATTAAAATGCTTGTATTCAAAAAAATAAATAAAAATTTTAAAAAATGCTTGTATTCATAATTAAAACTTTTCAGATCAAAAATGGTAGAATTAAAACATCCTTTTTAAAAAAAAAATCCTTTACTTCAGAAGTCACTAATCAGTAGGTGAATTCAGCATAAGGATAAATTTATAATGGTAGTCTCTAGATTGTGATCAAAAACATTTGAGAATTATTAAGCCATTGAATTTTATAGCATAAAAAAATTGAGTTTTGGGGTTTAATTCAAAATTTACCTTTTTTGTTTACAAAAGTAATTATGATTGCAGGGGTTCAAACTTGACTTAAAAGCACATTACATAGAAAAAAGTTCCTAACATGTATTCTGCAATAAATACAGTTTTGCAACTTTTCCAAACTTAACATCATTTCTTATACGTATTTCCACATCAATGCATATAGATTTACTTTCTTATTTTGAATAGGTTTATAGTATTCCACTATATTCCATAAATATGAACTGTTTGGCAAAATTTAATCACTTACTGAAAAAAGCAACCAGAAGCAGAAGGAATTGGGAGGGTAACAATTCAAGTACAACGTGTTACGTTTTTTTCTTCTTTTTAACAGCATTCAGGAAACCTGCACTTGCGTGTGTTACGTATATTGCATATAGACCTGAATTTTTTTATTATAAAGATTTCAAACATCCGCAAGTAGATAGAAGAGTACAGAATTCTCACATACACATCACTCAAATTCAAGTTAGTTTTCAAGATATATCGTATGTGCTTCATGCATCCCCCTCTGTTTTCCTGCATTTCCCTTCCTCTCTCTTTCTCTCTTTTTTTCCTGCATTATTTAAAATGAATATGGTTATTTTATTACATAATCATAATTCCATTATCACTTCTAACAACATTGAAGATAATTCTTGGTATTGTCTAATATCCAGTCCATAATCTAATTTGCCATGATTGTCTCTAAGACATCTCTTTTTGTTTAGTTTGTTTGAATTGGAATCCAAACAAGGTCCACACATTATATTTGATAGTTATGTTTCAAGTCTCCTTGAATGCAGAATAATCGTCTCTCTACCCTTTCCTTTTTTGTTATTTCTGATGCCACTGACTTAACCCAAGAAACTGACTATCTGGTAAAGTGTCCCACATTCTGGAGTTATCTACATGTTTTCATATGGCGTCAATTATATTTTGTATTTCTGTAAAATGTAAGTTAGCTCTGATAAGATTAGGTTTAACATTTTGGCAAGAATACTTCAGAGGTGCTGAGTACCTTTATATTGTATCATATGCGGAGGTATATGGCATCTGGTTGTTTCACATTTAGTGATAAGTGGGTTCAGATGATGTCAGTATCATCCTCCTGTTTTTATCTTTAAGCCAGTGGTTCTCAACCAGGGGTGGTTTTTACCCTCTAGGTGTTTGGCAATGTCTGGAGACACTTTAACAGTAGTGGTTACTCCACAGCAAAGAATGTCAGTAGTGTGGAGATTTAGAAATCCTACTTTTATAAACTAATGGTTTTATCCATTGGAAATGTTGCCCTGATTAAGCTCTTATTTCATTAAGGACTGCAGAATGACAATTTTTAAATTCTGTCAATCTAAGGAAAAATTTCCTCATTAACTAGGACTGTTTGGTTACTCTGAGATACAGTGTGTACAGAAAAGGCAGGATAAATGCTTACTATTTCTTTAAGTACTAATTTTCTGAGTAAGAAATTAGTACCAAGTTACTTCCGGCAGGGTGTGGGAAGGTAAAAGTTTACATAGCAAATTAGGCTCCCATTTGAACTATGACTACACAGATTGTTCAGTTACATTGGTTACATTATTCACATTGATTAACATTCTCGTTAATTCCTTTCTAAATGTTCCATTTTCAGTAGTCTAGTTTCCCTGTTCCTTTACCCTTTCATCTTCGCTTTAGAGTAGTTGTTGATCCTTTGGTCTCATGTAGATGATTTTTTAAAGGTACACAGTACTCACGGGTGATATTCTTTATTATTTTGTGAGCCAATCTGTTATTAAAAGGTGACCTCAGGATGATTTTGGTTCAAAGTTTAAAGAATATTTCTATCTCAAGGTGATAGTTTTGGGAAGTCTTCTAGTTTCAACTGGTCCAGTAAGTCTGGACTTTTTTTTAAGAATTTGAGTTCTGTTCCATGTTTTTCTCCCATTCTGTCAGGATCCATCTATTGTGGCCCTGATCAGAATGGTCCTTAGTGGTAGCTGGACACTATCTAGTTCTTCTGGTCTCAGGGTAGATGTGGCAGTGGTTCATGTAGACCGTTATCCTATAGACTAATTTCTTCTCTGAGTCTTTGGTTTCATTCTTTCTCTTTTGCTCCAGATGAGTAGAGACTGACATTTGTATCTTAGATGGCCACTTGAAAGCTTTTAAGACCTCAGATGCTACTCACCAAACTAGGATGTAGACCATAAACTTTATGAACTATACTATGCCAACTGACAGAGTTGTCCTACAAGACTATAATCCTAAACCTTCAAACCCAGAAAACCAGTCTCAAAAGATGTTTGGTTGTGTCTAAAAAGTATCCATAACTGTGCCCCCATGTGATTAGTTACATATATGGATGTACATGCATGCACACACATAACGTACATACACATACATATAGATACATGTATTTGTGCCCACAGGTACACATAATAACCTGTTGCCGTCAGGTGATTCTGACTCATAGTGACCTTATAGGACAGAGTAGAAATGCCCCGTAGGGTTTCCATGGAGTGACTGATGGATTCGAACTGCCAACCTTTTGGTTAGCAGCCAAGTTCTTAATTACTGTGCAACTGGGGCTCTGTACACATAATACTTAGCCATAAAACCAAGAAAACCAAACCCACCGCCATCAAGTTGATTCCGACTGATAGCAACCCTATAGGACTGAGTAAAAGTACAATGTAGAGTTTCCTAGGCTGAAGTCTTTGCAGAAGCAGACTGCCACATCTTTCTCCTGTAGAACAGTGGGTGGGTTCAAACCACCGACCTTTTGGTTAGCAGCCAAGTGCTTTAAACACTATACCACCAAGGCTCCTTTACATACATATGCGTATCTACATACATACATAACTACACACATGTTTTTTTGGTTGTTGTTGGCATCCCCTTTAGTCATTAGCTTCCTAGGTTTCTGGCAAAAGATGTGCTAGGCTCATCTTGTGTATTTCTTGCCCCAGACCTAGAATCAGCCATTCCTCCAAGTAGAGTTTTTAGATTGTAGTTCTGTATTTGAAAAAATAAATTATCAGTTTTATTATGATTAGGGAAATTGTTTAACCCTTAAAAAAATTCTACCTTAGATAATATTTGAGGTGTCCTGTGAGATAATTTTTTTTTAACTACAGACTTCTATGTATTTTGAAAGTTAGAGCATTTAGATAGACCAGGATGGCTATTTTACAGTTCGACATGCTTTGTTATCACTCATCTTTATTTTAATTGATTCCATTGGTCGTTATTTGTTTTTCTTTTTGCTGTTTATAGTTTGTTAATTTTATTTGAATTATTTTTGTTTTTAGACCTTGAAGTTGTAACTGGTATCCCGGCTGAAGTACCGCACATCAGAGAAAATGTGATGCGAGAAGGGCGCCATCTGTGTCTCCAGTTAGTGAGCCCTTCAGGAACAGCCGTTTCAACTCTCAGTTACATCAGCAGGACAAATCAGCTCGCTGTAGGCTTTTCTGATGGCTGTCTAGCACTTTGGAATATGAAAAGCATGAAAAGAGAGTAAGTGTAACTTTTCTCATTTAATTATTGGTAGTTTCTTTCTGAATGTAACTTGTGTGCGATTATTAATATTTGAAAATTAGCATAAAGAGAATAGGGCAGGGAAGATGAATGAGTATGAATAATTCCTAATTGCATTAAATCATAGTTTGATATTATAAAGAAATGACTTAGCACATGAATTCAGGTTGAGTCTTTCAGTGTTTCTTTAAAAGGCATTTCAGTTATTGTGGTACACCATTTGCTCTTAAAATATGACTCTATAAAGACAAAACTACATGTTTATGGAGTATGAGTTCTTTTAAAAGTGCTTTTCCCCATAATCTTCTATATAAAATAGCAGTGATAAAGTGTGCTCAGCTGACAGAAAAACAAAGGATTTTTAAAAGTCAAAGTTAAAAATACTTGTGTTTTTGAATTTTTATACTGTCAATATCTCTCCCAAATATAATTATATTGCTACTTTTTATTAATATCTATAGAGTAAAATTGCTGAGGACATAACCCTTTATTGAGGGAGGTAGCAGATAGGCATTATAAATTTTTTATGTTAATCTCTAAAGTAGATGCCTGTTGTCGATTTGATGTTTATTTCTTTTTTCAAGGCATGTTGGTAGTTTTTCTTAAGTAATCTATTATGAATACGAGTGAATGAAATAAAATAATCTTCCCAAACTTTCTGCTCAATTAGTTGAGCCAACAAATTAGTACCAACTTACCTGAATCTGGTGATAAATGTCTGCCCAAGGTTGAAGTGAAGAAAGAAAGAGAAATGGAAAATAGCAAGTAAATTCCTTCATCTCAAACCAGAGCCATTTTTCCTTCTGAGTTATTAATGTTAGTTACTATTAGAGTACTACTATTCAATATTAGAATACCATAAAATAAACACTGAATGTCCCTGGACTTCTCAGATTCACAATTTTTCTCCAAAATACTAGTGTTGAAGTACCTGTTCTCTCGCTTAGTAGCTCCCTATGAGAAGTTCATTTGAACTTTCTTTGCTGATATCCTTGTTAGTTCATCAGCTCGTGTTTAAATTGGTCCTAAGGTATGTCTGGAGAACCTGACTTCTACAGCAACGTTTTCTCTAGCTACTGTCATTTCTTGGCTAATGAATCTTTTCAAGAGGATTATTCTTCAGGGTTTCTTAACTCTTCTGTCTAAGTAGTAGGAAAACTGGCTCTGAACCTAAGTGGCTGAAATGGAGTGTTATGGCAGAATTTCATCTCTTTCTAGGGCGCCTCTTATTGGGGAACAGTGCTTAGTGACATATGTTTATGTGAGTGGAAGAATTAGTTTACATATACATATATACTACGGCCATAGCCTTGATGCTTTGCGCCCTGTGTATTTCTGAAGATAAAACTACTCAGTCACGTTCCCCGAATCAGTCCATTTTGGGGATCGTATGAATAGTGGTTACTCTAACCCAAATTCTTACATCAAGTCCCTCCTGTCCTTCCTTTTTCATAAAATTATAACTTAAAATATGAAATGTACTATTTTTTATACCTGTTATAGATACTTCACACAGCTGGAAGGTGGAAGAGTTCCTGTATATGCTGTTACTTTTCAAGAACCTGAGAATGATCCTCGTAATTGCTGTTATTTGTGGGCTGTTCAGTCTACACAAGATAGGTAAGTGTGATACATGTGGTTTTAAAAAATATTTGTCAAAATGGAGTAGTGGTTATTATTATTATTATTTGAAGGCTTTGTTTGTACTTTGTTGTCCCTTTTAGTGAAAGAAACATAATTCTTTTAGTGAATTAATGAATGGTAGTTAAAGTGATTTTAATGGTTAAATTATTGTTTCTGTCTGTTTGGATAGTGTGGTACGAGGAACATTAACAGTGTGTGGTACACTGGAAGCCAAGTAAAAGAAGTGTTTTAAGAAGGATCAACTAGTAAGAGTCAGAATTCAGATTCAGACAATGTGGCTCTTGAATCTGCTCTTAACACTTAACTGCGTGCTGTACTTGAGTAATACAGGGTTGATTTTGTATCTTTGCTTAATGTCCTTATTGTATAGACCTCATCTTCATGATCCAGGACAACATCTTCATCCTAGTCAGAAGCATAGCAAGATGGAGGAAGGGACCAGATAGAAGGAGCAAAGGACATGCTGTCCATTAGAGTGGTTCCCTGTAGTTGCCCTGGGATAATTGTGCTTACATCCCCTTGGCCAGAACTTGACCATGGGGTGGCCACAATTAGCTGCAAAGGAAACTGGGACGTGTAGTATACATTTTGGGCAAACAAGTGCCTAACTGTAACATACATATTGAAGAAGGGGAGAAAGAATATTGGGTAAACACTTATAATAGTCTCTGCCACATAATGTGGCACCTAAACTATGCAACAATACCAGCTTAATTTAATTAGAATGATAAAAAGTAAAAATCTGTTACTGTTTCAAAGGACTATATTTTATGAAAACAACAAAAGAAAACTAATTTCTTCACAGTGACTTTAGTTTTGTCACATGCACTCAATGTTGTACCAACTAAATTTATGTGGGGAATAAGAGATGTTTAATGTATTAATATGATACGTAGCATATCTCCTTAGTTAATTTGTGTTTCTTTCAGTGAAGGGGATGTTTTGAGTTTACATCTGCTCCAGCTGGCCTTTGGTGATAGAAAGTGTTTGGCATCAGGACAAATCTTATATGAGGTAATAGTAACGGTAATACGAGTTCATATTACTGTTTTATTCATTATTTACCTATTGTGTTATCCTTGTTTTAAGATATTAAAAAGTTATTCTTATATTCAAGGAAATACCGTATTCATAATTTCGTAGAAAAAAGCTTAGGGACCAGGAGATTAGCTGTTTTACCTGGGTAGCATTCTTAACGTCTCTAGGTATCATTTTCCTTTAAAATTAGTGGTTTAATTGGTAGCTGGAAAAAAATACTGCACATTGTTGCTTGAATTTAGCATATCAAGCAGTAAGCCATGGGGTGGCTTTATAAATAGTCTTGCCATTTACAGTTGTAAAAGAGGGTAAATGAATCCAGTCTTTCAGATGGCTACCTTTTTTTTTTTTTCCTGGCTTAATTTCTGAGGAAAGAGTGGAATGCTGCTAATAGCCATATTTTACCAACTCTCACAACAGTATCTGTCTCTAGAACAAGAGTTTTTTAACCTACTATTTGAGGGATATATGAGTGGTTTTTGGGGAATCCATAAAGTCCCTGAAATTATATATAAAACTTTTCTGATTAAGCATTTTCCTGGGGAAGGACTCATAGATTTTGTCAGATTCTTAATGGAATTGATGTGTAAAAAAAAGTTTAAGAACTACTTAGTATTCTAGAGCAAGAATTTCTGTGAGACCACAGAAATAGGATGGCTGGCCTAGCAATGTAATGTAATTGCATTATGTAAATGTTATGTTATTACAATATAATGTCATTGCAGATGCTTATGGAATTTCAATGGTTATTCCAGTTGACACCAGCCAGCATTATGAGGGTCCCCATATTTAATAACACCTTTAGAAAACATGTTGGGAATTGTTCGTGAGAGACTCAGTCTAGCTTTGTGTTTGTGTTTTATGGAGCCTTTTTTGGTAATTTGTTCTCCAATCTTTAACTTTCTAGTTTTAAAACAGATTTTGTTTTCTTTGTATTGTGTGAAAACCTTTACATTTGGAGAATGTTTAATTGTAGCCTGGCTTTTTGCCTAGAATCCTACTAAAATATAAAAGTTGTGGACATTTGATGTTTCAGGGATTAGAGTACTGTGAAGAAAGGTACACACTGGACCTTACAGGCGACATGTTTCCCTTGAGAGGACAAACTAGTAATACCAAACTGTTGGCCTGCCAGAGTATAGAGAAATTTCGATCTCATGGCGACAGGGAGGAAGGCATGAATGAAGGTTGGTTAAATGTACTCTTATGGTATCATGTATACTGTTAATTTAAGATTATGACACATTATGGGTTTCTGGAGCTCATACTCCTGGAAGTTAAAAAATTACCACAATTATTAAGGAATTTATTGAGGACTTTATGAGATACTAGGTATTTTTTGCTCTCTTGATGGCTGTGTAGAATTCAATAATTGCATAGATTAGGGTAATGAGGGACCCTTGTATTTTAGTCCAGCTCTCTCCACAGACAGACAAAATTGGTGTCTTGTCCTAACTAGTGTGAAATAACAAGCAGAACATTTCTGCTGAAACTCTGTATCATCCTGTTTGTACTAAGAGGATTACAGTAAGAGGCTGAGGAGTACCTCTTACTCTCTGAATAATTTTTTTCTCTGTATTTTTTGAGCCATATATGGCAAACATGTCTTGGTTGCCTTGAATTTTTTCTCTGTCTCCTTTAGTGTCATCCTTTCTTTCTGGGAAGCATCCTAGCATAGTAAAAATTACATAGATTTTGGAATCCAATGTGGATTCATATCCCAGCCTTATTACTAGCTGTGACCTTTGACAAGCCTCTGTTTCCCCATCTGTAAATCGGATGTTAAGTTATACCTTTTTCAAAGGGTGGTTGTGAGGATTTAATGAAATAATGTTATCATGCCTGCCATCTACTAGGCGCATTCAGTTCTGTAAATACTCACCAGGACTGTGGCTGTGTTTGTGTTCTTACTGCGATTTGTTGTCTTGGTGAGCTCATCCATCCCAGAGATCCCTCTATCCTAGTTCCCACATATGTCTTTGTGGTTCAGTTTTCACATCCAATTAAACATGTCAAAAACAGGTTGCATCATGCTCTGTCTCTTTTTGTTCCCTATCCATATCTTTATTCTATTTCCCATTGGTAGTGTCTCACATTTTTATTTCCTCCATCTCTTTCATCCCCTGTATTTTATCTGGTTCTTTTGTTGTGTCTCAGTCTGTTCCTTTCTTTCCATTCCCACAGCCACCATCCAGATACTTGTCTTTTTTCTCCCGTAACCATATAACTGGGGCCCTCCTGGCTCAGTGGTTAAGCATTTGGCTTGTAACCAAAAGGTCGGCGGTTCAAATCCACCAGACGCTCCTTGGAAACCCTATGGGGGCAGTTCTTCTCTGTCCTGTAGGGTTGCGATGAGTCGAAATGGACTCCACTGCAACAGGTTTGGGTTTTTTTTGGAACCATATAACTAGATCGGTCCTTCTCAACTAAGGTTCTACTGAAGAATAAAACCCTAGTGTCCTAGGCAACCATTGGTCCTAGCTGAGTACCATCCTTGGGATTATATTCATTCAAATCACTTATTTTCTTTCCACCTCCACTACCTCAAAGTTGCTAAAGTGTTAACCTAGAACAAGCCTAGTATAACATTAGCTTTCTGATTTGTACTTTTTAATAGATCTTCTTAAAATGGAAAACCAATCAGGATACAAATGAACGATCCTAGATACAGCTGAATCTCTTATGTGACAAATATAGAAACGTGTTTTGAAAAATCAAATAAAATAAGAATCAGACCTCTTAATTTGTAGGAAAATCTTGCTATAATTCTTTTGGAGGGATTTTGAGATTTTTTATTCTATTAAAATTTTTTTTTCCTTTCAGCTCTGTCTCCTGACACAAGTGTTTCAGTCTTTACCTGGCAGGTGAATATATACGGACAGGGAAAGCCTTCAATATATTTGGGGCTTTTTGACATAAATCGTTGGTATCATGCACAAATGCCAGATTCATTAAGGTATATTTGCTGTTTTTCTTTTTTTTTTTTTTGGTATTTGTGTATGTTAACAGGTTGATGACTTAGTACATTCTGTAACATTTTATTTTATAGATCAGGAGAATATCTGCATAATTGCTCATATTTTGCACTGTGGTCATTGGATTCGGTTGTAAGTAGGACATCTCCACATTACATCTTGGATATATTAGTACATGAGAGAAGTTTAAGTCGAGGAGTTCCTCCTTTGTATCCACCTCCTGAGCAGTTTTTTAACCCAAGTACTTATAATTTTGGTATGTATATCTGTAACATCTTTTGAGAAAAGTAACATGCAAAAACTGTAGATGTTTGTGTGTGTGTTTGTGTGTAGTTTGTATATATATATAGTATTATCTGTTCATCTCTCACTACTATACTGCTGTTATCATTTGGATAAGTTAGAAAATTAATTAGATACATGTACTTGGGAAATTTAATACTTATAAAGAATTTAATACTTCATAAAGAGATTATCACTATTTTGAATTTGCTGGAAGAGATATTAGCTATTTTACAATAGTACATTTGTAATAAAGTTTATTATTTAATTAAGTTAGGATGGGACTACCTGGAAAAAATAGTGGTGTACTGTTGTTAAGTTTGCTCCTTGCCTAGCAATCTGTTATTAAGATGAATTTTGTGCCGTTAATGCCATTTAAGTGTAATATGTAAGTGGATTTTTAATCTTTTTTTTTTAGATGCCACTTGTTTGTTAAACTCAGGAGTTGTTCATATAACTTGTACTGGCTTTCAGAAAGAGGTAGGTAACAGCTATCAACATGGGCCGAGTGTAATTGAACTGAAGTCAGATCTTGGAGTAGTACAGTGACTCATTAATATAAACTTCATTAGTGTTAATTATATAAACTATTATTTCAGCTTAAACGATAGCTTCTGCTAAGTTTAGGAGATTACCACCTAGTAGCATCAGCCTGCCAGAGGAGACATTGGAATGTTTTTTAGCAACTTTACATGCATGTTAGCTACTTGAACCCTAAGGAAAAAAGCAAAGTAGGTCAGTGTCTTTCTACATCCCTTTTTGTCCTTCTTAGTCTTCTCTCTCTCTCAGAAAGCTATTACTCTTATGAGTAAATGAAGTAATGCAAATAAGGAACCTAGCAGTGGCACAGTGTCTGGCACAGAATGACTGAAGACAGTATGTTGAAAGGATAATTTTCTAGGGAAACGTGAGGTGGCAGATCTCTTAATGGTAATTTCTGAGTGCCATATTTTTACGTCATTTGCTTCTTTCACATTAGATCAAGAGGAATAAACTGTGGGTTTTGTTTTTTGCTTTGTCAATTTTTCAAGATCTGTCACCGAGTTTATCAGCTTTAGAGAAGGTAATAAGGTTACCTTTCATAAAAACATGTATGCTGCCTAAAGTACCTTAATCAGTAAGTATTATCATTTATAACTAGCAAGCATTGGTTTATATCAAGATAAACCAATAAATTGAAGAACTTACAAACCGTTTTCCTTGCAAGAAGCTCAGTTTTTAATCAGTATATTATAGTTTATTTCAGAATGTTAAATGTAAAGTAGGGTAATGTGTTTAATTATTGTTCTCAAATTTGATTATTTAAATTGAGTATTGATAGATGTCATATCAATTTACCTGTTACAGACTTTGACTTTTTTAAAGAAATCAGGACCATCTCTCAATGAAGTCATTCCCGACGGTTATAATCGCTGTCTTGTGGCTGGCCTTCTCTCACCAAGACTTATTGATATTCAGCCTTCCAGTTTAAGTCAAGTGAGATGATTTTCAACTCTGTTTCTTTTAAATCAGTTGTTATTAGCTTTGTATTATAATAAAAATCAACTAGATAATTTCTAAAAAGGTAGGTAAAGTAGTGTAACACCCACTCTGCATAATCAGTAGGTGTGGTCTTGGGTTTGGCTTAAAATTCATACTCCCAGGACCCAGTAGGCCATAGCCTGGCACCAGGTGCACTGAGCTGTGTGACAGGTATTGGACAGGAAACAGCATGGCACCTACCTAAGGTGCATCATGAGTGTAAGTTTTTATAGCAGTTCAGGGGCTATGTTCCAGCCGCAGAGGTGCAAGAGAATGAGACTGCATAAGAGGAAGCCATCTTGGCTGAGGTGCGTCTCGTGCTCTCTACAATAAAGTGTGATCCTCGGAGTCAGCATCTCATGGATACTTGTTAGAAATGCAAGTTACTGGCTCCCACCCCAGACCTACTGAATCAGAAACTGGATGTTGAGCATTGAAATCTGTGTTTTAACAAGTCCTTGATGTGATTCTGATGCAGTGATTTGAGAACCAGTGGTCCATGGAAACCAATATCTTGTGAAAGCCTGTTAGTAAAGATTCCAGCTTCCTGAAACAAAAGTCATGATCAGTTATAGGAGGCAAACTCAGTCATGGGAGCCAAAATCTTAACTTCCCAATAAATATAGTCCACTCACAGTCTTCTAGTCCCAGTTCATTTTACCACTTGGAAGACATTCTTAAAATAAACAGTGTTACCTGGTGACACAGCTAATAATTTACATTTTTTTAAACTCAGTATTTGCCTGTGAAATAGTACTAGGAGAAGGAAAACCCCAGGTCATTTTCCCATGGAGAAAGAGAAAAGGTTTTGTAAACTCTTTCTCCCAAGTATTGTTTGTGTTAGGTTATTTAAATAACTACAAAAATATAACTTAAGGATTTCCTGGGAAAAGTTCCTTTTAGATACCATAGGAGATTTTCATTAACATACTCTTGAGTTGGGCGGTGGTATTAGGAATTTTTACTGTCCTACATCTACCTATGGGCTGTTTATTTCCAGCCATATGTATTTAGACTTAGTAGGCATCCCTCCCTTCCTCTCCCCCCAAGAAAAGCATAGAAAAAAATTTAATTCAAAATGGCTTCTTGCAGCTCTGACTTAGGTTCATTAAAAGACCTCAAGCAATTGTTGCCCTGGAGGCCCAGCTTATTGGGCTTCTGGGGACAGAGATCGAAACAGATAGCTCATCCTGCCAAAGGTTCCAGATTGGTGATGGCTGGGGTGCTCTTAGGTGCTCCATATCATTTTTTTACTTCAGAGAACTTAATACTGATTTTTTTTCTAATTATATATTTTAAAACAGCAATACTCTCTAAAAATTTTTAAAGAAAAATGAAAACGAGAAAAAATAAACTAATTTCATCGATGTTGATTAAAAACAGCATTTTATCTTTTTCTGTGAATATTTAAATTTAGTAAGCTGAATACTTTAAACTTGGTAATCTTTGTTTTACATGTATCATTGGATTTTTTTTTTATGTAAATAATACACAAATAGTTTGCGTTCAGAAAATTAGTAAGTGTATGGAAGCACTTAATATTTTGTTCCCCAGTTTTTCCTGCATCTCTTTATGTATCCCTCTATGTACATGAGAAGGATGTCATTTATGCAGTTTCATATTTATTGGCCAATCAGGGTTTACTCTCCTATTAATTACATATTCGTATGTTTTACTTTTTTTAAGTTGGATTTTCTTATGGAAATTCTTTGTAAAAATATGGATACTTGCCTTTTCTGTTGTAGATGGTATCTTTTGCCACATACAAATTTTATTTTTGTTGTCAAATATATTTAATTGCTTGTGGTTTAAAAAATTTTCCTACCACTTAGGTTTCTTTAACATTTAAGGCTTTAATTCATCTTTATCTATCAAGTCAGGTAAAGGTTCTGTTTTTCTTTTTCCCAGATAATTAGTCAGCTGTGCTAGCACTACATTTATGCAGTAGAACATAGAAATCCTTTCTCATGCTACTGAAATATCACTTTTATCATATATGAACATATGTACTAGGATCTACTTCTAGATTTTTATTTTGTTCCACTGATAAGTTTATCTATTTCTTTGCCATTTTAATATACTGCTTTGATATTTGGTAGTGCAATCCTCTTTTGTATAATTTTTTTTGGCAATTCTGTATTAATTATGATTGTATCCAGTGCTCTCACTGGAATTCTTTTTCAGTGTTATTACTATATGTATATGTTAATTTAAACTGAGAACTGTCGTTTTTATGATCGTAAATCTTTCCAATCTGAGAACTGTCATTTTTATGATCTTAAATCTTCCCACCCATATGTAAATGATAATATCTTCCCATTCAGGTTTTGTTTTATATCAGGAAGAGTCTGTAGTTACTTTCTTATGGATTTCTTTCTGTTTTTATCCCTAAATATTTTATGGTTTCTGTTGTTCATTAATGGAACATTTTTCACATATTCATTTCTAGATGGATATTGCTAGTACATAAATGCAATTGATTTTTGTATTCTTACTTAATATCTATTTACCTAAATTAGAATCTCTTGAATTTTCTGTGTGCGTAGTCATATCGGAGCCCTGGTGGCACAGTGGTTAAGAGCTCGGCTGCTAACCAGAAAGATTGGCAGTTGGAGTCCACCAGCTGCTCCTTAAAAACCCTGTGGGTCAGTTCTACTCTGTCCTGTAGGGTTGCTATGAGTTGGAATCGACTCGACAGCAATGGGTTTCAGGTTTTTTTTTATAGTCATATCAGCAAAAACAGGCTTTTACTTTTTTCCATTTTTGCCTAGTACTTAATTTTCTCATTGCATCTGATGGAGCCTCTAAAATCAGCAGAGTAATAATGGTAACAGCAGACATCCTTGTTTTGTCCCAATTTCAATAGGAATAGCTTCAGTGAGTCTCTGTTTAGAATCATGGTTTTCTTAGTTTTTTGGGGACCTTTATATTGTACGGAGCCTTGGTAGCACAGTGGTTAAGAGCTCAGCTGCTAACTGAAAGTTCGGCAGTTCGAATCCACCAACTGCTCCTTGGAATTTCTATGGGGCAGTTCTACTCTGTCCTGTAGGGCCACTATGAGTTAGAATGGACTCAACGGAAATGGATTCTTTTTTTTTTAATATTGTATAGCTGCTTGTATTCCTCTTTGACTTAAACCTATTTATCTATTCCTGTGACTCCTTTTTAAGTCTTAAATTTGCTACTGTAATGATTGAAACCATAGAGTTATCAGATATTAAATCAAATTCATAATGATTTTTTAATAAAAACTTATTTGAGATGTAATTTACATACCATACAATTCAGCTATTTGACTTAATGTATAGAATTCAGTGATTTTCAGTATATTTACAGAGTTGTGCAACTATCACCACAGTAAGTTTTTATCAGCTCCCAAAAAAACCCGTATCCACTAGCATTCATTCAACTTTCCTCCCCCACCCCTAGGTAACCACTAATTACTTTCTATCTCTATAGATTTGCCTCTTCTGAATATTTTATATAAATGGAATCATACAATATGCAGTCTTTTGTGACTGGCTTCTTTCCCTTAGTATGCTTTCAAGGTTCATCTGTGTTATAGCATATATCAGTACTTTATTCCTTTTTATTGTGACATAATATTCCATTGTATGGATATACCACATTTTGTTTATCCATTCATCAGTTGGTGAACTTTTAGGTTGTTTCTACTTTTTGGCTATTATGAGTAACATACACATAAAGGTTTTGTGTTGATAAATGTTTTAATTTCTCTTGGGTATTTACCTAAGAGTGGAATTGCTGGGTCATGTGGAAACTGTATATTTAACATTTATATATATATTTAACATTTTGAGGAACTGCTGGACTGTTTTCCAAAGTGACTGCATCATTTTACATTCCTACCAGCAGGGTCTGAGGGTTCCAGTTTTTCCACATCCTCCTCAAGGCTTGTTATTATCTGACTTTTTGATTATAGCCATCCTAGTGGGTCATAATGATTTTTAAGCCTTTAAAATTTTATATTCTGAATTAGAACTTGCTGCCTCTGAGTCTGATATGATCTCATATCTTTGTATTCTTATCTTTTGTGTTCTTTTTTTAACGTATGGATTAGGAAGAACAGTTAGAAGCTATATTGTCAGCAGCAGTTCACACAAGTTCTCTGGGACTTTTGACTGGATGTATCAAAAGGTGGATAACAGAAGGTAAGATTCTAATTTCTAACAAAATTTGTTTTATAGTTTTAAATTATCAATTCACTGTTTCTGTTTTTAGTTAAATTTTTTATTTTAATATAATAGCAGATTCACATGCAGTTGTAAGACATTATAGAGAGATCCCTTGTACCAAGCTTTCTCCATGGTAACATCTTGCAAAACTCTAGTACAATATCACAGTGATACAGTTAAGATACGGAACATTTCCATCACCACAGGCATCCCTATGTTGTCCTTTTATAGCCACTCTGTCTCTCATACATGTACACGCATTTTTTGTTCTGAACCATTTGAGAATAAGTTGAAGACATCATGCTTCTCTACCCTTAAATATTTCAGTATGTGTTTCCTTCTACCCATAAGGGCATTTACTTACAAAACCACTTTTTAATTATAAAAATCAAGATGATTAACAGTGATATGCTACTTCATAGACCTTACTGAAATCTCATCAACTGTTGCAGTAATGTCCTTCAGAGCTATTTTTTTTTTCCCCTCGGGGCCGGGGGAGGAGGAGGAAAGCCAGAATCATGCTTTGCATTTAGTTTTCATGTCTTTGAGTCTCCCTTAATATGGTACAGTTTCTTAGGCTTTATCTTTGGAGAAACTTACGTTTTTTAAAGACTACACACCTGTTATTGTGTAAACTGCCCTTCAGTTTGTGTTTATTGATCTTTCTTCATGATTAGAGTCAAGCTTTACATTTTTGGTAGGAGTACTGCATGAAGTGCTCTGTGCCCTGATGTGGTGCACTGAGAAGGATGCATGCTATCAGTTTGTCTCCATTATCAGTGACATTAACTTCATTCACTTGGTTAGGGTGGTGCCTGCCAGGTTTCTGCACTGTAAAGTTAACTAGGTTTCTGTTTGTAATTAGTAAATAATCATTCTTTATTTTTTCCTTTTATATTTACAAATAAGAACAACCAAATTCTGCTGCTAATTTGCGCTTTGTTCTCGAATGGACATGGAATAAAGTGATTCTCACAAAAGAGGAATTTGACAGACTATGTAAGTGTTATAAGTCTAGGGATTAAGTGAAAGATTTAATATATAAGAAAACTAATCCTTAGTTTATGTTTTAAGTACATAGTAAAATAATACGTAATGTTTTGAAGTTGTAAACCCTTACAATTTAAAGAAGTTGCAGAAGAAAACTGTTTCTTCTTACGTTAAAGTGACAAAGTTAATTTTTGACCACGATTTTGCAACAGATTCTTAAACTGGCAGTGTGCTGATAATTGCACTATAAGTCAAAGTGAAATTTAAGTTTTTTTTTAGAAGTGTAAGTTCTGTGTCATGAAGAATGAACAAATGAACTTTTGAAAACATTTGGCTATAGATAGTTTTTCACAGTTTAAGTTATTTTCAAGGAGCCCTGGTGGTGCAGCGGTTAAGCTGAAAGGTCCACGGTTTGAATCTACCAGCTGCTTCACGGGAGAAAGATGCGGCAGGCTGCTTCTGTAAAGATTACAGCCTTGAAAACCTTATGGGTCAGTTCTGCTCTGTCCTATAGGGTCGCTATAAGTTGGAATTGACTAGATGACATACAACAACAAGTTATTTTCAAAGAATTTCTAAAGCAACAAAATCTGATGGAAAGATATTAGTGTCTGCAGTATTTTTAGGGCATGCTTGTAAAAATATAAACATGAAATAATTTAGTTTTAAATATTTTCTTATTCAGTTAATACAGCTGAAGTCCAGAACACCTAATAATTCAAGAACAAAACGGGGTAAAACAGTTTTTAAGAGGAAAATGTTTTTGCAGAGCTGATTACTGTATTTTTACGCAAATAATGTACACCTTCTACATTTGTTTGCCAACCGCTCCCTCCCTCTGCGATAGTTCCCTAAGTGTGCTATGCTAATTTTTTTTTTTTTTTTTTTACAGCAACATGTTTTAAAAAAAATGGCATAGAGGCGCTTACGAAAATACTTCCCGGGGGGAGGGAGCGATTGGCAAAGAAGCGTGGAAGGTGCGCGTTATTTGGGTAAAAATATGCTATATAAGTTATGTAAGGAAAGAAAATAATTAGTCATAAATTGTGGGATCATTATTGATCATTGTGTGATTCCAGCATAATTTGTTTCAAGGTTAAACTTGGCAATTCAGCTGTTGTTGCTGTCTTGAGCCTCCTTACTGGTTAATGGAGTGTTTTTTTTAAAAAAAAAAACTATAAGAATAATTAAAATACAAAGCATAATAAGTGGTTTAAGTATATTTGAGAGCAAAGCAAATGAGAATTTGATTTGAGGGGAAGGGTTTTAGAATTAAGAAATTAGAATTTTAGAATTAAAAAATTGTTTTCTGTACAAATTACACATAAATATTAAAACAATGAAATTGGTCATTACAAGTAACTGTCCTAATCTTTTGATGTGTAGTGGTTATGAGGATGGGCTCTAGATCTAGATAGATTACTTCAGTTCAAATCCTCACTCTGCCTCATACTAGTTTTATACTGAAAGCAGTCACCTAACTCTGTCCCTCAAATTGTTTATCTGTAAAATGGAATAGTAGTAGTACCTGCCTCATAGAGTAGTCATGAAGATGTAAATTAGTTAATTAATCTATGTAAAGTGCTCCTGGCAAGTAATAAATTCTCAGCACTTATTACTGTTTTTAACCCAATTTTACTTTGTCCTATTGGTTCACGACCTTAAGGCATATGAGAACCACCTGAGGAACTTTTTCAGAACACAGTTAGTCCTTACCCAGCTACCTTCCCAACTACTAAAACTATGGCTCTCTATTTTTTTTTTACCAGATTTTAAATGAAACTTTACTTAAATTGGAGTTTTTCCCATGAAAATGTCCCCGACTTAAAGACTGTTTTGTATACTTTTCTAAAAGGTGTAACCATGAGTAACTAAAACACCTTTTTTCTCCAGAAAAAATTTGTCAAACTCAACTTGAAATGAAATGTCAAGCTCATTTGAAATGAAAGGACAGCAGCAGGGTCTACAAGCATGCAGTTTTATTGTAATAAGTCTTTATGTGTATCTTCATTTTAGTGTCTCCCTTTTTAAAAACTAGAAGAAACAAGTGTAATTATAAAATGTATGAAAGATCTCATATAAAAGTAAATTTATTTGAAGGAGAATCATTTTATGAATGTAACTTATCTAGTGAATATGAAGTGGAATCTGTATCACCTTCCTCTGGGCTCATTGCTTACCTCATTCTGTATTTTTTATAATAATTTATATCTGTCCTTTCTAGTTGCCTTGAATTTATTTGCCATTTTGTCTTTGTAAATCTCATAATTTATAGAATAATGTTGTAGTAGGAATTAGAGAAATTTTGCATTTGTGATTCTAATTCATTCCGATTTACTCTGTGGAAACTAATCTTGTATTTTGTCCTTGAAAGGTACTCCATTATTTGATGGTTCGTGTCGTTTCATCGATCCACAAACCATACAGTCTATCCAGCAGTGTCATTTGCTTCTTAGCAACCTTAATACAGTCTTAAGCTGTTTTGCAACAGAGGCCCAGGAGGTCACTGAGAGAGGTGTGCTCTTTGTTTTATATAAATGTGTGTTTTATTACTTTTTACTTCTTAACTTAGGGAAAGAATAAAGTCCTATGTCTTGGATGGGTCATTGTGTAAAGAGGCCATTATTTCTCAGTTGCTGGGTTTTTTTTTTTTTTTTTTTTTTTTAAATGAAAAACTATAAAATGTTATTAGACATTCCATGAGCCAAGCTTAAATAAGCTTGGGAAATTCTGGAATTAAACTAACTGGTTGTTAAGATACTGTACTCCTAGCAGAATTTCAAAATTTTAAATTATATATGTATTTTTATTCATAGAGGCCATTTTCTCCCCCTTTCTTTTTTATCATTTAAACAAAACAAAAACTATTTTCATATAAAGGCCTGATTGGAACAGTTTATATTAATCATACAGTGTTCAGTTTGTATTAATGTATCGATTGGACTCCTGAAATTAGCTAAATGGAAGTGTAGCTGAGATGGAATTGTATTTACGTAAAACGTCTCCTTACTAGTCAGTGACTTATTTATTCTAGCATTTTGGATATATTTACTTGGCATCATTTTGGACCTAAGTAAAATAAATGCAAGCTGGATTTGTTAAAAAAATATATATACATTATTGTTAAAAATCACCAAGTAATTAGTTTTTGAGAACTGTTGAGTATTTTGGTTTTTCATTTCTGGCTGATTAATTGAAAGTTAAGGAAGTGATTGATGTTAAACTCTCCTCTACAGGTCTGATGGACTTAAGCAATAAGCATATGGTTACCCAGCTCATCTGTCAATATGCACAAATGGTTCTTTGGTTCTCTCATTCCGGGCTTTTACCAGAGGGCTTAGGTAAAATATTTACTTAATCTATTAATGTTAATTGAAACCCTCTTAAATCTTTATAATGCTTCAGGTTTTCTTTCTTTCACCCCACTTATTTTTTCTTCTGTTCTTACCTTCTTCCTTACTTTGTATCTTCAGTGCATCAGCCCGTGCCTGATACTCAGAAGGTGCTCCATACATGTTTACTGAATTAATAACACGCAGGAGGAAAGCTAATTTGAGAAAACATGGCTTCTGAAAATGTGTTCAACTGTATTATCAGCTGTAATTTAGATCTATAGAACTTTGATTTTTATCATTTAATTTGCTGATCTCTTTCTCTTTAAGGGCTCTTTTAATGTGGTTATTAACTAACATTATTTGCCATCACTTATTACCCCCTTTTATCTAACAATTTATGCCAATACCGGGAATTAGAGGACTTCCTTTTACTATGTTTGTTTAGAGCACACTTCTGAAGCCTCCAGCTTCTTGCAACAGGAAGCACGTTAGATTTTATTTGGAAGTGCCTCTGTCACTGTGCATGTAATTGCTGTTGATCATAGTTTTTCATAGTTTCCTTAGATCCTGACTTGAATAAATAATGAACATTGCTTGCTTCAAATTATCATTCGTGCCTAAGACTTAATGTCATTATCTAGATAAGCCCTTCAAGGGCTTTGAGCCAGCGTCCTTGTTGGTTATAGGCTTCATGAGAGACTCAGTTTTCTCGTTTGTGTATCTGTAAATAAAAGTACGTGTAGTGTTCTTTTATTAATTAAATCCAGCAATCCTGTGAATTATACAAGTTTATAAAATTGTAGTAAAGTATCAATGTGTGTAACTTTAAGTATTGTTGGCATATTTTGGAAATACTACTAGCTTTTTTCTCCTAAAAAAAATCTAGATGATGCGGTGCAGTTGTCAAGGTTATGCTACAACTACCCTGTAATTCAGAACTACTACACCAGTCGTCGACAGAAGTGTGAGCGTTTGTCAAGGTATAGTACCTCCAGAGCCTTCGAAACACATTTTAGAAAATTATTTCTGTAAGAAGTCAAGGCTTTCTCATAGAAACTGGTTATTAGAGTTCATCATGTCACAAAACATTTAAATAGGTGGAATTCTTGGTAAAGTATCAGAATTTAGTAGAATTACTATTTTAGTTATAATGTTTGTCCTGACCGAGTGGTTACATGTTTCTTTAGAATTTGAGGATAGCTACTTATTATTTTCTAAATGAAATTCTTAAAAGTGATTTATTATAGGAGATTCTATAATTTAAGCATTTTTCCCTGATAATTCTTGTTCGGTAAAAGACTAGAGAAGCTACTGTTCATCGAAAAGGCATAAAATATATGACCAGTTAAAGTTATTTTACTTTCTTTCCATAACAGTTACATTTCAACAATTTATTCACTTTGTTCTTTTTTGTTTTTCTCTTTAAAATGCATAAATATTAGCCTAATTGGTTCCTTTGAAATAAACAAGTTGAAGTAATAGAAGAATACTTTTTGTTGCATTGGCCATACCTCTGGAATTAAACAGCCTTCTTTCTCAAGTTGCAATAATAAAATTACAGAGTGGCATACAGCATTTAGAGCAATGATGCACAGAACTGATTCCCAGTTCGTGACATCACCTGGGAATCAGTACTTTTAATAGCTGTGCCTACTGCACCTGTTATGCATTTGTCAAAACCCTAAGACTGTACAACACAAAGGAACCATAATGTGAACTATGCACTCTAGTTAATAATAATGTATCACTATTGGTTCATCATTTGTAACAAATGCAAAATGGTAATATTGGGAGAAACAGTGTCTAGGAGAAGGAGGAGTTATGGGAACTTTGTACTTTCTGCACAATTTTTCTATAAGTGTCAAACAACTCTAAAAAATAAAAAACTCTGCCAAATGTAACTACGATACATGGCAAGTTTTGGGAACCAGGTACTTTAGAAGACCTAATGTAGGATGGTGAGCATTGACTTGGGAGATTGATTAAGAGTTATTTTAAGATTCTGGATCTATTATTTACTAAGTGTATGTCCTTGGGCAGGTTTACTAGCTAAGCTTTCTAATCCTTTTTGTTCACATAAGTTACAAAGTCAATATAAGATTAAATAACATACACAAGGCACCCAGTGTTGCATGACTTATAGGAAAAGCTCAGTAAATAGTAACTGCTGCTGCTCTTGTTTTAGATGATGGAACAGATATCTGCTTATCACACTGTTGGTGCTCATTTGTGTATTTTTTTGAACGAAGGAGTAACTGGGGTTAAATGACTAGCCCAAGTGATGAAACAAGCTATAACTCTGACTTTGAACTGAAGTATTATTTTCACTGCACTTGGCTGTCATACTTGATGGTAATTTAATCAGGATGGTGAAAAATACATAGTCTTGGGCATTTGGCTGGCTGGACTACTTTCTCCACAGAGACTTGACGTTGATTGGCTTACTGATGACAGAACTTGAGACAACTTTGGGGTTTATCCACTAACTCTTCCTCGATGTCTGGAGTTCTCATGATGTTAAATGCAGTCCAGTTCTCAGTTTTTCTCCCACTAATAATTGGGATCATTACTTTTAAGATTTTAGTGTTTGTTGTTTTGGTAATGGTAATTAACCCTTCTATTAAATCCTAATTTTGCCCTTATTGCAGAGGGAAGTGGAACCCCGATTGCTTGATGATTGATGGAATGGTTTCTCAGTTAGGAGAGCAAGTTGAGAAGTTGTGGAAACGAGATGAAGGAGGCACAGGAAAATACCCTCCTACTAGTCTACATGTAGGTTTGCAGTAATGATATCCTTAAAGCTACCAAGGCTATACAACAAAACTGAGGTGGGATGAAGCATGCTTAGCTGTATTTTTCACATTTGGCACAGGCTTGGGAAAAACAAGGAATCTGAACGAATGAATAAATGAATCTATAAAATGCAGTGAAGCTTTTATCCCTTCTTTTTGTAGGCACTGCTTGACATATACCTACTAGACAATGTTACTGAAGCAATCAAACATTCTGTTGTATCCTTTTAAAGTTTATCAAATAATTCATGTATTACCAAAATTATAAGATTTCAGAGTATTAGGGACGTAACATATCGTTTAAAACCATTGTAATTTCATGCTTAAGTTTCCTTGAAGATAAGGGTTCTTAACCCAGGATCCTTTGGTTGGGTTCAGATGGTCTATGGTTAACCCAAAACTGTATGGAAAATTTTGTTTTGTTTAAATTCATGTTTATTTTTCTAGAAATAGGGTCTGTGGCTTTCCTCAGATTCTAAAATGTGTCCACATCACTCAAAAGTTAAAAGCAACTGCTCTAAAACATTGCTGGCAAGTGGTTATTCTCATTGTGGTTAACTTGTGTGTTGAATAAGAATACATTATGAATTACCTTAATATTACCTTTGGTGTTGCGTTTGACCCTTGTGGTCTTTGAGATAAGGTTTTTATGCTTTTGCCAGTTTCTGAGTCTAATACTGCATAGTTACATTCGTAATTCACAAGACACATGATGTGCCTGCTTGAGCTGCCAGCTTTTGCTAGATAACTGGATTTTTGTCTATAGCTGTGTTTCTTAAATTTGCTAAGCTAGTGACTTTATGAAGAAAGCATGCTTTAATTGTCTCTTTTTTGGTGGTATTTACTGTTGGGAAAAGAATGAAGTTAGTTGTGGGACTTTCTGTACCCACATTTTATATAACTTTATTTCCATAGCTGGATATCCAGGATGGCTTTTTTAATGCTATAAAGAAGTCTTTCAAGCCTCTTTTATGCTGCATTATTTTGCTACCTATTCTAAACATATATGTAGGAGTTTTTTGTTTTTGTTTATTATCCTTAATCCTCTTTTTTTCTTTTAAAAAAAAAAGACCATTTATTTGCTGCTTGATATTATGTATTCCTTTCCAAACAAAACGGATACTTCAATTGAATCTTTTCCAACTGCCTTTGCCATTTCTTGGGGCCAAGTTAAACTCATTCAGGGCTTTTGGCTGCTAGATCATAATGACTATGAGGTAGGTCTGTTGGTTTACTTAGAATGTGAACTTTTGTAAATTATTAGAATTTTAGGAAAAAAATACATAACTAGATTAAATTTGTTATTAAAGATGTGATGCAGTCTACTTCTGGAGGTCATTTAAGAAGGACTTAGTTTAATCAGTACCATTCACCAACCATTTCAGAAAGCCAGGTTCCTTACTGTCTAAAGAAGGAAACAAACAAACAGTTACTAATAGTGTGAATATAATTGTTATATTAGAAATACGTTTGGGGTGTTGAGTGGACCATAGAAGGCAGGATTTGGCATTGATGTATGGAATTGATAATGGGAAGATTTTATGTACTCAAGAGGTCTCAAAATGGAAGGCTTTTGATAAGGCTTTTATTCGTGAAAATAAAATACACCATAGATTAAAGTAGATCTTTTCAGTTTATGTTTAAACTGGCTTTCTCTTAATTTTTGTATTATCCATTGTGGTTTTAGTATTGCCTGTATTCTTAGACATTAACTACTTTGGCTAAATGCAAAGGATTGTATTTGTGTTTAACACTTTTCATGTCATATTTGCAGAGTGCTTTGGATCTTTTATTTCACCCAGCTACTGCAAAACCTGTGCCATGGCAACATTCAAAGATAATTCAAGCGTTCATGACTCAGGGCGAACATAGACAAGCCCTCAGATATATTCAGACAATGAAGCCGCCAGTGGCCAGTGGTAATGATGTTATCCTTCACCTCACTGTTTTGCTTTTTAACAGGTAACTATGTAGCTTTTTAATTTTTGTGTGCTGAAAAATGTGTAACAAAATATTTGCCATTTCAGAAGTGTTTATGTGTCCAATTCAGTGACGTTAATTATGTTCCCTGTGTTGTACAGCCATCATCACAGATCTTTTCATCACCCTGAACAGAAACTCCCTTCTCCTTAAGCAGCGCCTCCCAAGTACATTCTTTTAAAGTGCAGTCAAACTCTTGATCATATATGTTAATATTTCTGAATTGGTGAAAAAGACAGTAGCAGCCTATATGTTTGTTAATGGGTTGTAATGTAATGGTTGTAAAATGTAAAATAGTTGTGATATGTAACGGGTGGCATTACATATTACAATTTTTGATCTTTCAACATTCAAAAAATTGTAGAGCACCTTTTATCTAGAATAAGATGAATAAGAAGTACCTTGAGTAAATGGGGAAGCCACACTGGGGATTTGAAATTAGATCTGTTGATAGTTGGCAACATTGACAGTCTCCTGAATGGAGAATTGAGAGGAAGAATGAAGTCAAATAGAGTTTATAAATTAGATGTCCCAGTGATGGTGCTCTGATATTTTTATGTTAATATTGGTTGTTTTGGGTATTGCAGTTACTTGCATTTGATTTTTGTCATTGCATTTGCCACTGCATTCTCATAGAAAGGAAATCTTGAAGCATCTGTTTAAATGATTGACAAAAGTGTTGAGTTTCAAGTCCATTTTTCAAGGCTTTTTCTTATCTATTTAAATGCATAAATATTTACAGATTATGTTTGTTTGTTTTTTGTGTTCACTATTCATACTGTTTTATATTTGCTTTTTTTATTTAACAATATATCATGATTGCCCAAGTTAATATATAGCTGCCTCAAGGCCTACATTATAGTCCATTGTATCACTTTATATTCTTGTACATAAGTCTTTATGCATTGTTTCCATTTCTCTGCACTATATTCCTTGCAGTGGGATTGTTGGGTCATAGTGTATATATAGTTTTACTACTACTATCATTGAGGTATGAGAGTTGAACATTGGTGTTTTATTTAAAGCTCCCAGAATCCCTGACTGATTCTGAAAGACTCCTCTATTAAGAAATATGATTTCATTTAAATGATCTCCTCATTGCCCACGGAAGAAGTCTCAATGTCCCCTCATATTTAATTTGACACAAGTTTGCCAGTCAACTCTTGCTGCAGATCATCCAAAATCATCTACTATAAAACTGTACCCTCCGTGTCCTCATAAACACATTATGCTTACTTCTACCTATGGGCCATTGCTCATTTTCTTTTCTACTCTTCTGATGCTGAATGTCATTTCCTTGAAAAACGGACTTTTCTCTGTTCCACCCGACCAGTGTTTCAGTTCCTGGATATGCTGTCGAGATTAATTTGTTGTCTTCTTTGAAGTCCTGTGTACTTGCTTTCCTATTATTTTACACTTAAAATCTGAAATGATAGTATAGACCAGCATATAATTAAATTTTAGAGATCCTTTGTCTTGCTTTGACATTATTAGCAAGATATATTATGCAGTGATTAATATTCACTAGATTTTTAAGGTACTTTTAAACTACATGTACAAGTATCTTTCAGATTCTTTAGATGAATTACTTGTTTTACACATTTTTAATGGATTTTCTGAAACTAACTGCTGCTTTCAGGTGCATGGTTGAGGCCTGGACTTTATTGCGACATCATTCTAATCGATTGAATGTAGAGGAGTTACTAAAGCATACGTATGAAGTCTGTCAGGAAATGGGCTTAATGGAGGATTTACTGAAGTTACCATTTACAGACACTGAGCAGGTAATGACATATCAATGTAAACATACCAGAAATTCAAGAAAAATCAGTAGCTTACAAATCTGTTTTATTCTTCTAGGAATGTTTAGTGAAATTCTTGCAGTCCAGTGCCAGTGTTCAGAATCATGAATTCCTTTTAGTTCACCATTTGCAGCGTGCCAATTATATTCCTGCCTTGAGGCTGAACCAAACTCTGAAGATTAATCTTATGGTATGGTTACAGTTGTTTTGTTATGGGAGACAAGAGAGTAAGGAAAACTGGAGACTTTTTTTTTGTTTTGTTTTGTTTTAATTGTTATATAAGATCTTATAGTTTGGTAACCATTGTGCCCTATATAATCTTGATCTTGGAAATGTGAGACCCTTCTCACCTTCCTGTAGCAGAATTGGGAACAGGGTATTATTATTTACCTGCTTCTTATATATATGCCATTTCTATTCATATGTCTGCCCATAGTCTTACCAGACTAATGACTTCACTCAGGGAAAACAAGAAGAGGTAGAGGATCCAGTAGGGGTAATATACTGGAAAGAGAATGGGATCCAGGGGTCACACACGGTTCTTAATATGCTCTGTGCACTTGAGACACCTCATTCTACCTCTGTGAGCCTTGGTTTCCTCATCTGTAAAATAATAATAGACTCCTCTTGAGGTTGTTGTGTGGTTACAGAGAGGTGTATGTGAAGCAACATGTTGCCTGACACATGTAGATGTTTAGTAAATGATAGCCATTGCTTTTATTAGTTGTGAAGAATTGAGGCTTATTAGGAGAGACTTGGAATTTACTGGTAAAGCAATTAAGTTTGTGTATGAGGTCCTTGATTTGGAAGAATGGATATGTAGGGAAAAAGAAGATACTGTATATTCATAATTATAATTTAAATAGTAAATATGTAAACCTAGAACTTAACATTTTTTAAGATTAAATTTTCACCAATTATGATATGTTCAATAGAATGATCGTGATCCTCGTTTACGTGAGAGATCAGTGGCTCGAAATTCTATATTAGACCAATATGGGAAAATCCTTCCTAGAGTCCAGCGAAAATTAGCCATTGAACGAGCTAAGCCTTACCATCTGACAACATCATCAGTTTTTCGAGAAGGTAGGATTTCATTGAAGAATGTCATCAATTATTGTGCTAGAAAAAATACTGGTTATGTTTCTGATACCAGCGTAATCTTACATTTAGTTCACCTTGGCTGCTATGTACTCAGATCCATCACAGCAGTACTTTTTTACTGACTGCTCTTTCCCAACAAGTGCAGGGCTTTCTTGGAAGTTTTTACGGTTTATTTAGTAATGTGTTGTTAGCTGCCGTCACTTGGCCCCTGACTCATGGAGACTCCATGCACAACAGAACAAAACACTGCCTGGTCCTTTGCCATCACTGTGGTCGGTTGGGTGTCAGACCTTTGTGAACCACCGGGTTTTTATTGGCTGATTTTTGGAAGTAGATCACCAGTCCTTTCTTCCTAATTTACTAATGTAGTGCAAAATAAAATAACTCTTTCCTTCCGTTAAGACTCTTGTCCAACTTTTAGAGAACGTATAATTTTATCACCATTTCCTATAAGTCCTAATTATTAAATTTCTACTTAACTCTTGCTAAACCAAATATAATTCTGACTACTCTTATCTTATGATCTTTATTTCCAACCATTCTTTCATATTAATTCTTCTGTTAATAAATTCCTTGGTGGTTAGAGATGAAATTAAATGCTACATTCTTTGTCTTACAGTTTCTAAACCCAGACCATTATCAGCAGTTCCAAAGCAAGCTGTAACAGGGACTGTGTTAACAAGATCTGCATTCATCAATAATGTGTTATCTAAAATTGGAGAAGTTTGGGCAAGCAATGAATCTAAAAACGGCATTTCTCCCTACGTTGGGTATGTCTGTCTTCATGCTGCTTACTAATGTCTTCCTGGACGTGAGCAACATTCATAAACAAGCCAACCTAGTTGTCCTAGTTTATTAGTGTATATAAAAAGCAAAAACTTTTTTTTTGTATTAGCTACTTTTCTTACAAGAATGTTTTTTATCTTTAAATTTAAGTGATATATGTTCATTGTTATTTGTAAATAATGCAGAAGTGTACAGAGTAAAAGATGAAAGCCCTTTCCTCTTCCATCTGATCCTACCTTCTTACAGCACTTTTTAATTTAATGTCCCTTTTGATACATAATCAAAAGTTAAATTCTTAATTTTCTTTGTAGTCCTAACATAGAAGAACCATCTCCTATAGTATATTCTCTCCCAGACCCAGAGCTGCCTGAGGCATTTGTTGGAACACCAATTTCAAAAGCATCACAAAAAATTTCTAGGTAAGAATTTATTCAATCACTCTTAAAGATGCAGTGTTAGATGATAATTACAACTATAATTTTTAATTATCTTTAAAATTTTACAAACACTGTTTTAAATTTCTGAATGATTCCCCAACCCCCACTATTACTAGACTGTTTTTTAGAGTAGTTTCAGGTTTACAGAAAAACTGTTGTATAAGGTACAGAGAGTTCCCATATTGTCCCCTTCTCCCTTTGAATGATTTTTTTTTTTTAATGCTTGGCTTTTGTTTTAATTTGAGCAGTAGTGTAGTAATTTTAGGAAATTTTGCATCAACTGGTATTCTACCTGAAATTTTACTCAAAGAAGATTTCAGACTGCTTAGAGGAAAGAAGCAAACTTGGAACTGTTAACTTTCTTTGTTTAGCTCCTTGTCAGTTGACCCCTAAGTTATTTGGTTTTATAGTTAATTCCTAGTTAAATTTGGTTGGCTCATTTTGAAGTTTCTCCTGTGCAACAAAAGCTACTACTAGAATGTCTTAAGTGGCTTATGATGCAGTAATACTTTTATATCTTACCTATGAGATAGAAAAGTAAATAGTTAAGTTCAAATTTTACATCCAAGATGAAAGTGTGAATGTAAGTATTTATTTAAGAACCTTAGATGGTTGAAAAGTGTTCATAATCATCAATAGCAGAGAGCAAACAAGTGTCTGTTGATGTATTGGTCCTTTATCCTTAATAACATATCTGTGATTGTTGTAAATTTTTAATCAAGTTTTATCAAGTACAAAAATACATTATTTTGTAGGAATAAAATTATTTGAATTTTTGATACTAAGGATAAGATATATTTGGTAGGTTAACTATTTACAAACAATTGAGTCCAGAGCCATTTAAAAAGTAGCTAATTGGTGTATTTTCAAAAAGAGATTTTCTCTTTTTTTGGATTTTATTTAGTTGTTGTTCTTTAATTATTCTTATGAGATAGTAAGAAACTAATTTTAAATGGAAATCATTATTAATGACTTTTTTTTTTTTCCTATCAATAGTTGTAATTTTTTTCAGAGTTACTTTTTCTTGGTCTTTATGTACTTGAGTAGATGTGGGATTTTTAAGGGAGGCCCGGGACATTTTAAAAGTTTTTAGGATTTTTACTAATAGCCTAAGGGCTTGATTAAGAAGTATATTATGTGTCCAGTGAGAACCCTTTAAAGCCAATATTAGCTCAGATAGAAGAAAACTGATTGCAGTAAGAATATTTTATCTTTTGTAAAAAATTATTCTGTCCCCTAATTCTGTATTTTCAAACTGGTTTGCAGTAGTGAGTAGTAAGTTTGATGGGTTCTGACTAGCATATTTTTCAATGAAATAGGATAGTATAGATAATATCAGTGGACACTGCATATAATAAAGGTAGGTGCTGTTTTGTGTAATTTCTGTTTTGTTTATGTGCGTGATCCAAAATGAACTTCTTATGTGGATCATGGTCAAAAAAGTTTTTTAGTCAATTGTGGAAAACCTAAGATCTAATGCAGTATTTAAAATTTCCTTTAGAAAGTACCTTAATCAAAAATATTTTGTCTTGATAAGTTTTTTAGTATAACTTAAATAATAGTAATTTTGCTTTTGTTAGTATAATGATTTTGCTTTTACTTAGAACATGCTTTTCATTGCACAGGCTCTGCTTTGGGAAGCAGTCATGCATAAATAGGCACCTCAGACATAATATTTACACGTTGGAAAGCATTTAACCAACTTTCCATTTGGTTCCATATTGGATAGCTCAGTATAAAAGTGAGCAGTTTATGTATACAGAATTTGAATACAAATGAGGTAGAAAAGAAGAAGAATTGGAACAGAAAATGAATGTCTAACAGCATGTTTCTAGAAGAGTATCTGGATTTCTTCGTTGTTTCATGGAAATCTCTAAGCTGTGCTTGGGACACAATAACAAGCGGATAGAACCCTATATTAAGAAAATGCTTCCTATAAATATTTCTCCAAATAGATTGGGTCTTGAAGCAGCTGTGGTCTGTGTTGGTCTGCCACCCCTAATAGCGAAAAAAATCTCCTCTGAACATAGAAAGTAGAATAAAGAAGGCACAGCAACTGGGCATTTTTATTTCTGGGTACTAAAGCATGCTGTATTTTTCTGGTTATGCTGTACCAAGTCACACTGGCATTTAGGGAAAGTAAAAAGGTATTGTTTCTCACTAGAAAATAGAACCATAAAATAGAACTACTAGGAAATTGAGGAAGGAGAAGTGACCTGTACAAATGATCCAGCGCAAATTGTAATCTGAAAATTTCACTATAGTGTTTAAATTATTTACCTGTAAATTAAGTTTTTAAGCTTATTTAGACTATGCATGTTTTTATGTAAGTCATCAATGAGATCAGTGTCGTCATTTTATATGAAGTGGATTTGGGACATTATGGGAAACCATTCAGTAGATAATAAGTATCCAGGATTTTTCTATTCATATGTATGCTCTGATTACAGACTGCTGGATTTGGTTCGTCCTGTCCCCCAGCCGTCTCAGTATTTGAATTTTATTCAGCAAACCCCTTCCACAAGATCTCCTTTGTACCTAGCATCCAGTCCATTGCCATTAAGTCAATTAAAAGGGTCACATCAAAACACCTCTAGAGCATCAGAATTGCATTTACTTGAAACTCCTCTTATTGTTAAGGTAAGTATTACATATCCAGCATATGAAGCTAGGGAATTCATATTTTCAAGTCAGAAGATAAGCTTTTTATAACTGATATTTCTGGGTGATCGATAGCTTTAATCTGCTGCTGCTGCTTTTTTTTAAATACTCGTCTTCCTAAAATGCTTACATTTTATATTTTTACATCTTCTTAAACAGAGCTTACTAAATTTACCCTTCTCTGCTTAGCTAGCATTAAACTTAAGGTTATCAATCACTCTGTTGTCTTGAATGTATTCTAAGGCTCTGTGTAAGTTACCATAAATTGGCCTTTGTCCTTTGCAAAATGCTTTTAAGCTTCTTGGGTTTGTTTACTTGCTTGCTTGCTTGCTTGCTTCCTTTCTCTCTCTCTCTAACTCCATTGCTGATACCATTAAGCCGTTATTTCTTCCATCTATCAAGTGCTTTTGAGTTCTTAGGTTTATTTTATTTATCTTTATTTTATGACTCCGTTGATGAGACTTTGAACTGTTACTCCTTCCTACTGTCAGTGTATCTGTCTTTAAATTGCTGTTACTAAACTTGAGATAACTGGGCACAATGATCTTAATGCCTTCCCATTTTCAAAGTGTTTTTACAGATGTTATCTCTTTTAACTCCTTGTCCAGTGTTCTGAATTGAATCCCAGAAGCTTTCTTCTTCTTCTTCTTTTTTTTTTTTAATTGTTTCTAGGTTATCTTTCTGGATCTCCTCCAGCATTTATAGTGAACAAGGGAATTATTGTTCAAGTTGAATAAAAGATACTTCAATAAATGCTAGTCCTCAGATAGTTATTAAAGCAAGTTAATTAGATTCCTAACACTTAATTTCAGTCTTACTAATTGGCACTTTATTTTTGAAGTTGAATTTACAGTGGAAATAACCAAAGCCTTTAGAATGGTTATGAATGCAATTTTATGTTTGTAGCCTTACATAAAAGAGCTCTGGTGGTACAATGGTTAAGCACTCAGCTGCTAGCTAACCGAGAGGTTTGCAGTTCAAACCCATCAGCAGCTCCACAAGAGAAAGATATGGCAGTCTGCTCCCAGAAAGGTTACAGCCTAGGAAACCCTATGGGGCAGTTCTGCTCTGTCACATAGGGTTACTATGAGTCAGAATCGACTCGACAGCACACAACAGCAGCCTGTGTATAGAAAGCTCTGAGTAGAATTTTGTAATTTGTTTTCAGTGCTCTGGTATAAAAATGTTTATTCATGGCTTGTGTTATATAGGGTTAAATGTGTTCATTGGAGATGAGAATGTAGCTACTGCTGTGACTATTGATTGACCCAGTCTGCCCTTATTTAAAGTGACATTTACAAACACTAACGGTGGAATTTCATTTGCTCTTTGTCATAGAAAGCTAAAACTTTGGCCATGTCGGTTACTTCCTCTGGATTTGCTGAGTTCACTCCTCAATCCATCCTAAGGTCTGGACTTCGGACAACACCTTTAGCTTCTCCCTCTCTGTCACCTGGAAGGTCTCTTACTCCTCCTTTACGACTTAAAGAAACTAGAATTTCATTCGTGGAAGAAGGTGTGAACACAAAATGGACTGCTGGAGTAAGTTTAATAATTAGAAAAAAATTAAAATGTAATAATATATTAGCTCATATCAAGTAAAAAGTTAGGTAAATCAATTTAAATAATATCACTGTAGATTTTTGTTATACAGTCTTGCAGTCATGAAATCAGAAAACATTAGATCTGATAGAGGTAGAATCCAGACCTCTTAATGCTTAGTCTGTTTTTGTTTTTTTTTTAAACCTGTATCGTGTTGTTTCTCTTACTAAGTTCCTTACTGGTTATCTATTTAAGATGTGTTTTCAGAGCTCCACTGTAGTTAATAGGAGCCCATTTAGTGATTGTTGGTGATCTTGCTTATTCTATGTTTAGTCTAAATTTTAAAAATACCAATTTATTACCAATTAGGGAAACACTAACACCCATCAATGTTTAATCATGTATCTGAAGAGAATGGATTTAGGACAAGTGAATTTTGATGAGGAAAAGAAATATGGAGTGTAGAAAGGGTGGGTATGATTGGGATGGATAGCTTAGACTAAACCTGACTGATTTTTACTAATGAAATTTAAAAAAAAAATTTTTTTTTTTTTAATCTTACTTTACAGGTTACAGATGACAGCAAAACAAAAGTATTTATTACTACATCTTTCCATAAATGTGGAGTTCCAGCAGAAACTGAATGGGTGAAGAGCAAAGATAAGGCCACATCCTTTTCCCCGACTAGTCCTGAGAAGAACCATCAAGAAATGGATATGAGGTCACTGGATACACCCTCTCATAGTTTGGAGAAACTGGATACGAGCAAAGAAAACAGCATTGCTTCAACCAGATCAGACCAGACTACCTTGGAGTATCAGGATGCGCCAGCACCAGAAGACTTTGAAGATATTTTCATAACCACTAAACCAACAAGCTCTTCCACTGAACTGATCACTAATTTAACTGAACAAACTGAGAAGGAAGGTGATAAAGATGTGTTTGAGTCAGAAGTAACTCCTCCAGACCTAGAGAAACAAACTGGTAAAAACTTACTTTCAGAGTATTCAAAATTGCCATTAATGTCTGTCAATAAAATACATAATAGAATTTTTTTCCACCATAAGGAAAGCATCAAGGTCAAATAACTGTATGGTATTCTTTCAGCTTACTAGTATGGCAGATGGACATTGTTCCACTGGGTATAAGTAGGTATGAGATTTGGGGGAGGGGAACTTGTGTGTGTTACCCTTTTTATTTGGCCATGAAATTTGGAAAAGAACAGTAATGTTTAAGAAGGGAAATTTAAGATGCCATAGTTAGATTTCTGATTACTGTTTTCTTTTTAAGGGCTTCCTATCACTATGAGAAATAATAATACTGACTTTACAGACTAGATTGATGGTATAATTTTTATCTTATTCAGCAGCCTCAGCTTTCTTTAATGCTGCTCAGAAACTAGGAAGTTTATTCTGTTCTCCATGCCCACCTCCAAAATAATTGTTGTGCAATCAAAATAAATGTCCAAAGGCCCATAAATTTGTTTTCTTTATATTCATTTATCTGTTAACAGTTTTTTCAGCCCTCAATGTATGTACAGCAGGTAAGCCCCTACTGTATGCATGCTAGGTATTGAGGATCAAGTAATGAGTAAAGTACCTGTCCACATATAATTTGGATCTTAGTGGACTGTATAGACAAACAGGTAATTATAATGCAGTATAATAAATGCTATTCTGGATGTCATAGAAGAGACTAGGGGAACAGCAGGAAGGAGATAGACTTGGCTTAGAATTGGTGGATCAGAAAACTTAGCCTATTTTTATGTTGCTTACTCCAGATATAATTTTACTTGTTTATTTAAAAGTAACCCCTAACTTTAAATCTGTAAAACCTAAAGCTTATATAAACATCTGTGTCATAAGTGGTTCCTTTTGGGAAATGTTTTTTTGTCAAGGCTGAACTAACTAAGATTTCTTAAAATGTGAGTCCAGTGAACTAATGTTTTTGTTTAATAAACATAGGTATTAATTGCTCTGAGAATGTTAGGACTATGTGCATACTAACATATCTAGAAATTTACATTGCTTTTTTGATGTGCTATGTTGTAATAAAATACTTGAATGGTAAATATTAGATGAAAATGTCCATGGCAGTAGCTTTATTGGTTATTCTTAACAGTTAGGCAGTTTCAAATAAAAATTTTTATTGTTTTTGTGAGGGATCATATGTACAGCACAAACTCTAGACCCACACAGACTAGATTTGAATCCTAGCCCAGCTACTTACTAGCTTTGTGATCTGGGATAAGCAACGTAACCTCGGTTATGTAACTTCGGTTTTCTCATCTATAAAATGGTGATAATAGTCTGCTTCTTCAGATGTTGAGGATTGAGTCAATATGTATAAAGCACTTGAAACAGTGCCCGTTAAACCAGAAGTGAGAAGTGGGAGGTGATGGGAGTCTCTTGGGCTGGACTCAGAGAATTAAAAGACAGAACTGCTGGCAGTCTGATGCCAAGAGACTAAACCTAAAGAACAGAAAAGCAGACCCAAGAGCTTTTAAAACAGTGATAGTCCACGACCATGAGTAATCTCAAAATGTTTGGCATACATAATTGTAAGTATCCTTATCTTTATGATTTATAGGCACTTTAGAAGATGCAGAAACAAAAGACCTCCTAGTTCCAAAGGAGACACTTTCAGAATTTCAGAATCACTTAAGCCCCATTCAAGGAGTTGAAGCTGCTTCTTGTGCACCATCAAACCATGAAGGGTAGGTTAATGGAGAAAAACTCAAATGTCCAAAAAAAAAAGTTTAATGAAACTGGGTACCAGCAGTAAAATAGTCTATGGATAGATTCAGTCTTATTTAGATCTGTGAGATTTCCATTTTGGTAATGTTCTCCGTTATTAAAGAAGTTCAGTTTTACAACTGTGTGATTATTTAGTAATTATCATAAAGCCTTAGAATTTCCTGAATATACAGAGACATGATGAATTGAGGTAGAACTCTTGTATTCTTTAGTGATTCTAATTTTGCTGAAGGCCAAAATTTTCACTCATAGCCCTGCATTCCTCCATGCCCTCCCCGTTTCTGTGGTGTCAGGATGATAGGTACAGGTCTCCTGTAGCACCATGGTGGAGCCTGGGGGAGATGGCTGGGAGATGTTTGGTTCCCTGCCATTTGGTTAATACAAGACTCTAGTTAAGTTTTGGTTTTTTAATGACTAATTGATCTGTTTTGCTCCTAATTAGTCAATGATATTGAGCACTTTGTGCCAGGAAAGGTGTACTGTACGAGATGATGCAGGGGAGTGTGACTCAAATTGTAGTATGTTGGATTGATGTCTGTTCCCAAACTATTTAAGCAGCTTGCATTAGAAGTACACTACTTCCTTTACTGAAAGCCAGCTGAACCTAAACAGTATGATTTAGTGAAGTAATTGATTTACATTCTGTCACAATCATTGCAAGACTGGATACAAACAGTTTGCGTATCAACACTTTGAGAGTAGCACTGTTATAGAGGATATAAAAAAAGTGACAGCTTCAATTATCAAGAAATAGTAAAGGTAATTTATTAAGATTGATAATTTAAGGCATTGTAAATGTTTCATTACTTCGTAAGTAATAATAAGAATGACTTAACATACTACCCACAAAAATCAGTATCATAATAGTCAACTCTTAAACATTGAACTTTATCATACACTTCAGCTCTGAGAAGAGAAATCCAGATTAGCTAGAATCCTTGCAAAGCCTTCGTAGAAAAAGCAGGAGAAACTAATATAAAAAGATTATCCAAATTGTTTTATTGTTTAGTTCTAATGTTTTGTGAGTTTTAATGAAAACTAATGTTATTTATTACAATGAGTTTAATGGATAATTTCAACAATCACAAAGCAAAGAGCAATCATGTGAAAAGAAACTTTGTGAGCACCAGTGATAATCTAGGTGAATATTCAGCTTCTTGGCAGGGTGGTTCCTTTTTAAATATAAATTTATTTGAAATTTTGTGGGAATTTATTGTTGTTTCTCAGTTATCGTTAGCCTTATTATAAGTACTGTGACTGAGATAGTTTTTAACAAACATATCTGTAAATAAGTAAATGTGTATATTCCAGATACATGCATTTTCTTGAATTTACTTTGTAAGTGTCCTGTTTTTAAAAATCAGCATATTACTTTAGTTGAGTTTGGGGGATAGACCAGCACGAAATAGTCAGTGGCCACCATCCAACTTATTTTCAGAACTTATTTTCATACATGGATAAATACACTCCTCCCATTGGTCTCCCATTCTAAGTCATTCATTATACTCTTCCTGGGCAGTAGTAAAATATTGAACCTTACTCTGCTGAATACATAGGAAATATTCCTTAATACTCTGACAGGCTTATTTGAAGAATTTGGCTACAGATTATTAAAAATTGGTCTGAGTGTGTAATTTATCTAGACTGACAGCACTGTAAGATAATTTTGTTTGTAGTTTGTGCCATTCTTGCCAAAAAAGTAAAATAGCAGAAAATAGGAAAAACAAGTACAGCATTGTTTCTAAATTCACTTGTAAATTTTATAATGCTGTGTAAAATGAACTTGAATAGCATTAATTTCTCTGAACCTCAGTTTTCATCAGCAAATAACAAAATAGAGGAACAAGTAGGGTTAGAGAGGGTTAGAGCAGAATAGGATCTTTTTACACTAAAGTATGTAATTCTGTTTCTAAAGGAAAATCCTCTTTCCGGAATCCAAGGTACCAGTTTTGGATGAAGGACTAGTATCTGTTGAAAACTGCGCCTCTACTAGTAGCACAGATAACAGTAAGTGTAAGTATTATTTTTTTAACTTCAGGACTATTGCATTTTAGTGTTTTGAGTAACGAGTTTTCTAGGAACAAAAGAGTCTGTTATCCAGATGTCTTTTCTCAGTTCTTCCTCTCTCAATCTGGTCAGCTTCCCTGGCATAATAGTAGCCTTCTAAGGAGGTGTATCAGCTATCACAACAGTGCATTGCTTGGAAAGCACTCTGTGACTCTAATAGTTTTCTGATGGTTTTCATGGACATATTTTACTTTGAAACACCCAAAAGGAGCTAAGTAAATTACCCGCCTATAGCTAGACTGCATATTGCCATTTGATCTACTGGGACTTGCATATCTACATGGGGCAGCTTCCCAAGAATGACTTTTCAGTATTAGAAACGGCTCAGAAATGACTGGATTTACTCCAGGGAAACTAACAACTATATGGAATTCATTTAATTTTTTATCCAGTGATTTTTTTTTTTTTTTTTTTTTTTTTTTGAGTGCCTACTGTTAGCTGTTGTTGTGGAGTGCCATCGAGTCAATTCTGACTCATAGCAACCCCATGTGACAGAGTAGAACTGCCCCATAGGGTTTTATTGGCTGTAATCTTTATGGAAGCTGATTGCCAGGTCTTTCTCCCGCGGAGCCGCTAGGAGAGTTTGAACCGCCAACCTTTTGGTTAGGAGCTGAGCACTTAACTGTTGTGCTACCTGGGCTCCTTGCTACATCCTGGTTATTACAGAGATGGAGAAGATACATTTTCCTCAAGGAGCTCACATTTGGGTTTAGGGAAAGCAGACACCTTGAATGCCTGTTGAATGCCCAGAACTTGTCCAAGGATTTCACATGTATGAATTTACTTAATCTTCACAACTATGCTATGAGGGAGTTGCCATCTGACCTAGAACGCATGCTCTTAACTGTGATATCTTTCTGCCTGTTCCATTATGAATAGGGCTTAAGACAGGGTTGAGCAAACCTGGGTTTTTTCCCTGATTAAGAATGTAATATATGTTTATTGTAAAATAGGAGAGAATTATCTTGACATGTAAAGTAAAAATCCCCCACAACCTGGTTACCCATTTTAGGGATTCATTATTAACAATTAAAAGCGTCTTTTTTTTTTCCTATGCATACTTTCTCCAGATTGTCAAAGAGGAGATATATATGGTAGCTAAAGAGCACAGGGACTTGAGCCAGACTTCTTGGGTCATAACCAGTTCTGCACTGAATAACTATAAGACTTTGGGTAGTTTCTTCAGCACTGCCTCTGTTTCTTTGTAAAATGGGAATATTAAGGGTACTCATTTGGTAGTTAATTTGAGCAAGTTGCATGTAAAATGTTTAGAGCAGTGCTAGGCACTTAATAAAAGCTCAGTAAGTGTTAGCTATTATTATCAATTATCATTTATTATTATCAAAAAACAACTTGCATTTTTCACTTAACAGTGTATTTAAGACATCTTTCCACGTCAGTAATCTAGCTTGAATCTGTTATTTCTAATGGCTGTAGTAGTATCCCACAATATGGAGATTCTATGATATATTTAACTAATTGCTTATTGGTAGATATTTGAGCTGGTCACCATTTTTGTTGTTTGTTTGTTTATTTTGCTATTTCAGTTCTTCAGTGAATATTCCTGTATATTTATGTTTGCACATTCTGTGTCAGTATTCTGTTGGGTAGATTCCTAAACATGGACTTGCTTGGTCAAGGAATATGCACAGACACCTAGTATTTTATTGTTTCTTCTTGTGAAGGTTGTATACTACTTTCATACATTGATTGTTGGAAGTTACTTTTTTGAAGTGATAGGGTACATTTGTGGCCATTTGGATGCTTTGTGCCAAAAGAGAATCATCCAGTACTTTTCACACGCAGTTCAAAGCTGAGATTGCGTGTCCCTCGTGTAATTCTATAATGGCTCAACAAGGATAGCTGTTTGCCTATTAGTCACCTGGTGAATATAATTTTCAGATTAATTTAGTAGGAAACAAACATTCTGAGCTCTTCACAGCATTTATCATCATATTGAAGTTTCACAATAAGGGCAGAAATTATATTCCAGTTGGGAAAAGCCAGTGTAATCTTTTTTAAATGTGAAATTTATCTTCCTCTATGTTTTATCTTTGTGGGAATCAAATATATATTGTTTGAACTGAGTAATAGAATACTGAAGAAAATGGGATTTGTATGTAAATCCTTTTAGGCTTTTTCCTTAAGATGTTAAATTTTTTGCAAATGATATTTTATCATAATGATATTCTTAAATGCATTGTGGTCTTTTCTGTTTGCTTCCTTAATTGTGTATAGATCATAGTTTTCAGTGTAAAATGTAGAAGATTAACTCTGATTTTTCTTTTCAGCTACGGTGGATACCATTGGTGATAGTGGAAGCTCGGGGCCCGTTATCTCTGAAAGTCCTGTTGTCTCTGAACATAGTCTTGATCAGGAAGTAACATTGAACCTTAAAGAAGATCATGAAATAGAAGTTGATGTACTAAAAGAAAGCATTGACTTACCAGAAGAAAAGCCTCCAATTTCTGATGCGCCTCCTGATACTCAAGAAATTCATGTAAAAAATTTTATTTATTTATTTATTCTTTTTCAGTTGTTCAGTTTTGGTTTAGTTAGGTCTTAAGACACCATAGTTCAAACCTAATACATTAATTCATCCAACTGCTACCAAAAAAATCTCTTTATAAAAATCTGTGTTTAAAATATAAGTGTTTAAATGTTTTGTGTAATATATAAGAACACATTGTTTGAATAAAAATTAGCTTTCATGAAAATCAAATGACTGTTAAAGAAGGCACAATTTTAGTAATTTAATTTTATCTAGTATCTGGTTCAAATGAAAGGTTTTTTAGCCATAAGAAAACAGATATGGCTATTCCAGAGACAAGTATGACATTTAGACTGTTCACAGCATATATCTGAACAGAATCAGATACAGTTGAAAAGGATTTTTTTTCTCTATGCCTACTTGGGGGAGAATGATATTGAACTGGCTGGGGTTGAACCCTCCTGTAAACTCCAGAGAGAATTTTTTTTAATGGGGGGTACTTAACATAACTTACGGTTTATAAAAACTACATCAAATTTCTTTTATTACTAAGAGGCAAGTTTTATACAATAAATGAATTTAAGATGAAGAGCAAACAGCTCTTTATACAAATCTGATTATAGAGAATTTGGGAAGTTTCTTAACTCACAAAAATGTCCTAGTTACCCATATTGGTCTTCTTGAATATTCTCACTCTGAAATACAAGGATAAAATCCCTAATCCTTCAACTGGGAAGCTAATAAAAATTGTAGGTACCTGGTATGAGTGGGAATCCTCATTTCTAGGTATTTCCCATCTATCATCTCACTGAATGTTTGGGGAGTGGGAAAATGTTGTTGTGTAGGTGGGTGGTAATGTTCTACCTTCTTGGTCAGGAGATCTATCTGTTACTTTCTACCTCCTCCTTTTTCTCCCCTTCCCTTACCAAAAGGTAAATGCAAGGACCATTCCTTCTTCCACCAAACCCTTGCAGGAGAGGTACTGAACTTGAAAGCCTTAGGAATTTCATGGTTTATGCAGCCCCAGCAAAGGGAAGAGGATTGAGTCTAGCCCAAGGGAGCTTATGTAGGTGAATTCTTCTTCAACCTTATGGGGATCATGCTGTTTAGAAAAGTGTGGATAGTTAGGTAATTTGGGGATTATCATTAACACAGTTTGGGGGTTGTTTCTTTTTTTCTGGTTAATTTTTTTTTGAGTGAGAATAGAATAAGTCCTTAATTCTTCTCACAACTGTTAGCATTATGATAATTTTCCAGATTTTGTTAAGATTGTCTTTTTTATAGCCAGGGAAATGTGGAATTTCTGCTTGAATTCCAGTCATCTCAAAATCTTTTTAGTCATTTTGACTGAGTGAGAAAGTCTGATTGTTTAAATGGATATTTTATAAAGTAAACCCATAAGCCATATCAAATATAGTTTATGTTTACAAATACATACACCAAAGGTGAGGTGGTCATTTAAAACCCTTATGTTTTAGGTTAAAATAAATATATATGTTAAAATTCTGTAACCAGTTTCTTACCTTTAATTCTTCTTAGGTGATTGAACATGAAAAAATTGAAGCTCAAGATTCAGGAGAAGAGGCTAGGAATCTTTCATATAATGAGTTGTATCCCTCAGGAACTCTTAAGCTTCAATATAATTTTGATACCATTGAGCAACAGTTTTGTGACTTGCCTGATAATAAAGACTCTACTGAGTGTGACGTTGCTGAAGTAGATGGGGAACTTTTTGTGGCTCAGAGCAACTTTACCTTGATTTTGGAAGGTGAAGAAGGAGAATTTGAGACGGGTGATTCTGCAGCATCTAATGTATTAGTTAAAGCAGCTAACACAGCAACTGAGGAAAAGCACGTGTACAGTGGGGAAAATGATAATCATGGGCATGTTACAAATTTGCCATCTATCGTAACTAGTGATCAGGAGTCCCAAAAGGTAGAGACATTCCCATATGTGCCTGAACCAATTAAAGTAGCTATTGCAGAAAACTTACTAGATGTAATTAAAGACACAAGAAGTAAAGAAATTACTTCAGACACAATGGAACAGCCCATTCTTGAAAACATACCTTTAATAAGCCAAAAGGTAATGTCTTCCACCACGTTAGCCAAGTCTACGTTTAAGACTGTTGAAGAAACCAGTACAATGACTATGAATGTCAACCAGGTAGATGATATGGTTTCCTCCAGAACTCGCACAAGAGGACAGCGTGTCCAAAGCCTGAATATCAAATCACAACAGGAAGAGTCAGTAAATATTGCTACTCCTGAGATACTGGGGCTTTCAGTTTTGAAGAAAACTAGGAAAACAAAAGAAATGTCTGATGCTTCTGAAAATGTCTACTCTGATGTCAAAGGAATATCTCAGAACCAGCAATTACCTCAAAATCTTGTTACTCCTAGGAGAGGAAGGAGAAAAAAAGACACCGATCAGGACACATTAGAAAGTATTAACCCTATGGAACAAGAATTCCGGGTCAGTGCAGGTAGGGAATTAAGAAGGTTAAAGTCATCTCAGCTGTTGGATCCAGCAACTGAAGAAGCTTCTTTTAATAAAGAAGTAAAGCTTACATCTGTTACAAGAAGGACTCCTAAAAGAACTAAAAAGTCTATTGAAAATCAGGAAAGTGTTGAAATTATAAGTGATCCAAAAGTTAATAAAGGGGCAAGCCCTAGCAGAAGTATCAGGAAATTGAGAAGCAGTAATTTGAAAGCTTCTGAAGATGTAGAATGTAAACAAGATGGGATGTCCAGTGACCAGCAACTGCCTGTTCAACGCAGTAGAAGAGTCAAAGAGAGAGAAGTTAGTGCATCAGATGTGATGGAGCACTCTAAACTTGATTCATCACAGTTGATTCTTCAAGCAGAATTTGATATTCCTGCCACACCTAGGAAACGCGGTAGACCAAGAAAAGTAGATCCATATGAAGATTTAGGATTGAAGGCTGTCGAGGGAGAGAGAAGTCCCAAAAAGAGAAAAGTTCTTAGCATCCAAAGGAGATCTACAAGAAACACTCCAAGTAAAAGTGAAAATATTGATGTTGGAAAACTAGCTTTAGAAGAATCCATTTTATTGCCAAATGAGGAACTTGCTACCGTGGTGAGCTCTAAGAAGAAGCTTACCAAAAGGACTGAAAATCAAAGCCAGAAACGTCCATTACGCTCAATAGCAGAAGAGCACTTCGGTAACGAAATGACACACCAAGAACCAAATAGCCAAGAAGAAGGATTGCTTGCCACAGCTGCTTTGACTAAATCTTCCCGTGGCACAAGGACTAGATCTAGCAAGGCTGTCTTGTTGCCAGACCTTTCTGAACCAAAAAATGAACCTCTTTTATTTTCTACTCCTGTGTCAAAAGTTCCGAGGAAAGAGAAAGGTACTTTTATGTTTCTATTTTTTAAAGCACAGCTTACATCTCATACAAAGCCTTCAGCTTAAAATTAAATTATTTTAAGGCACTGTTTGCTTTGCTCTTAGGCACTAATTGATTATTTGTCCTAAAAGTGATTCATAGTTATAAGGGATTCTCCACCCAGTAATGTTTTGATCTTCTAATAGTAAAATTAAAAGACTCACGTTTCAGAGTTTATTTTGGGATTCAAGAATTTTCTGGTTCAGTGTGACTTTTTAAATCTTAAATTCACTTGATGTAGGTTTAATTTTTTATGATAGTATTATTTCTGTTCATTCTGCCCTATCATAAATGACTTTTAGTTTTGGTTTAAGCTAAGTACCATTGCATTTGACTCATGTCTCAGGTGATATCCACAAGCCTAGATTGTTTTGAAAGGAAAAAGAAGTAGAATTTTATTGACTAGTATACTGATATTACTTAAATCTAGTCACTATTGCCCCATACACAGGCATGGCTGCATGCCCAACCTCCCTTATTGCTGCTGGTGAGCTGATGATTGTATTGTTGGTTGGTGTAGCTCATCCTTCTCAACAGGGGCAGTATTGCTCCCAAAGGGGCAAAAATATCTTACTGTTTTTATGTATAAAGCACAAAATACACATACAGTATGTAAAGAGATACACAAAATATGATTAAAATATCAGAGGGAAAAAAATTTCAATGGAGGAATGGAATAATGGGATGGGGGAAGGTTGAGACCCCTGGTATAGCTAAATAGATCCCATTTGGTTGGTTTTAAAGGGAACGAGTGATGATAATAATGGTTAGGTAAACAAAAACTGTCATGCATGTATTTTTAAATGTATCGTTGCATGCAGTCGAGTTTCTGACTCGTAGCAATCCTATATGACAGAGTAGGACTGCCCCATAGGATTTCCTAGGCTATAATCTTTATAGGAGCAGATCACCAGGTCTTGTCTCCCTCAGAGCTGCTGGTGGGTTCAGACTTCTGACCTTTGTGTTAGCGGTGGAGTATTAAACCATTGTGCCACCAGGGCTCCTTTAGTGAGTGAAAATCCTGTGTAATTGCCTCCTGACTTGAAGAAGACCAAGAGAAAGATAAGCCATTTTAAAATCTGTGTGCTATTCACTCTGCAAAAACCTCTTTAAATATATTGTATTTATGCAGTCTTTTGTTATATTTATATAGCCTGAGCCCAGGAAAGGGTCCCTCCCCATAAAACTATTTGTCCTGAAGATAATTTGCACCTGCAGGAGAACCCCCTGCCAATTTGATCAGGTCTTTGATTTTGGTTGTTGTTAGTTGCTGTCGAGTTGATTCTGACTCATAGCAGCTCCATATGTGCAGAGTAGAGCTGCACTCCATAGGATTTTCAAGGCTGTGACCCTTCAGAAGGAGATCGCCAGGCCTTTCTTCCCAGGAATCTCTGGGTAGGTTTGAACCACCAGCCTTTCAGCTAGTAGTCACCCAATTACTCTTTTTAATTTTAAGTGACAAATGAAGTGTGTGAGATTTTAGCTGTTAATCAGTTGAGTGCACACGGTGAATTATAAAGCATAATTTTGTTTTGCTTAAGATGAGGGAGAGAGGAGGAGCTAGGGAGTGTGTGTATTTAAAAAGGTGAGATAAGTACACAAATACTTATAAGACCATTTGTTCATGCCTGAAACTAAAGGTAACGTATAGCAGTATTTTTAGGTTAGAAATACCAATTGCTAATTCACCAAATTTTATTAGATTTGGGACATTAACTTTGACCCTTTCTTGGTCTTTTATACAGGATACTTGGAAAATATGTAATAAATCTTTCATGAGAATGAAAGATTACTATTTAAATTTTATTTAAACCCCCTTTTTTTTTTTTTAATAATTAACCTCTTTTCGTGGTTTCATTGCTTTGAGTTGCCGATAGTTTTAAGTATTCATTTTATTGTTCCTTTACTTTGCTGTATTAGTTAAAATGAAAAAATACAACAGTAAGGGTTTCAAAAGAACATCAATAACAGAACACTTTTATACTTCCCATGGGACTCCGAACTGTACTAAACCTAGAAATTGGCGGTTATTTTGGTGCAGCATAGCAAATGTATCTCAGTAATTCTTTTATTAGTCATTTTTATATAGTTGTCATCTTTATACCTACTAATTGTAACTTTTTTTTTTCTTTTTTGGTTAATATAATACATGCCTGCTCTACCCCATTGCCATCGAGTCGATTCCAACTCATACTGACCCTGTAGGATGGAGCAGAACTGGCCCGAAGGGTTTCTGAGTAGCAGCTGGTGGATTCAAACCGCCAGCCTTTGGTTAGCAGCCGAGCTGTTAACGACTGTGCTGCCAGGGCTCCTATGCCTGCCTTAGAAAACTAGAAATTAACGGTGTATGATCTAGCCATCCAAAGAATCACTAACCATTATTTACATTTTCTTGTCTATCCTGCCAATCTTTTTTCTCTATGTGTTTATGTAATTTGTTGGGAAAAAAAATAGAGGTGTGTTTGTATATATGTATATATTCTGCTTCCCCCCTTATTTCATGAGCATTTTCAGATATGTTAAATATTCTTCAAAAACTTGAGTGTTATGTGGTTTTGTTTTGTAGTTTGGTTTTGGTGTTTTACATATTGAGAGGCAACATGTGGCATTTCATCTCGCTGATGTGCCACAAATTGCTTAAACAGTCTCCTACTGGGATTCTAATTGTTTTCAGATTTTTTGGTAATAAAAATTGGTACATTCTAGTGTGAGAGGTCCTGGTGGCACAGTGGTTAAGAGGTCAGCTGCTAACCAAAAGGTCAGTAGTTCGAATCCACCAGCCACTCTTTGGAAACCCTGTGGGGCTGTTCTACTCTGTCCTGTAGGGTCACTGTGAGTCAGAATCGACTTGATGGCACCGGGTGTATATATAAATAGTTATAAATGGCTATTCTTTTTTTTAAAAAAAAAAAACCTTTCTTTAGCTAAAAAAATAGAAGCTTCTGCACAGCTGAAAGAATTGGTTTCAGATTTATCTTCACCATTCGTCTTCTCACCTCCTACTTTGAGGACCAGGAGAAAAAATGCATCCAGTACATCCAAGCTCATAGACAAACTGGTAAGGAAGCCATAATTTTATTTTCTTGCTTGTTTGAACAGTTTGTTTTTCTGTTTTTTTAAAGCGATGTCTCCTAAATAAACTTCTTTAAAGATAGCAGATATTTATACTAAAAGCCCAAAATTGCCTTGTCCATGCCTTTGGAGACCCTATCTTTAAGATAGATTTGTGGCATGTTAGTGATGGTATTACTGGCAGCTGCAATTTAAATTACTTGTTAGGGGAAAGGTTTTTAAGTTTTAATGTCCATCAGAATTATCTGGGTGTATTTATTTAAAATGTAAATTCCTGAACCACTGGAATGTCATCCACAGACCACACTTAGAAGGGAGTGTTTCAGAGTTGATTCTATTGCCTAAATTGCACCAAACCCTAAAATAAAAAGTTTAAGGATTGAGTGTATGTGTGAGCCCCTTATATTTATCATTATCAGTTCATAAGCATTTATTGAATTATTTGCCATGTGCCAGGTACTGTACAAAAGCAAAGTATACAAAAATAAATCATACAGATTCCTTGTCTTTCAGGAACTCACATTTTAATTGAAGGGGCAAAAACATAATTATTTCACAGTCTGACGAGAACCCAAACATCCCCATAGACAAAAGGTAGAGGAGACAGGCCTTCCGGGCCAAGAGAATAGCAGATGCAAAGGCACGGAGGCATAAAGATGGAAGGGATATGTTAGCGAACTAGCACATAGCCATGTTTGTATTTTAAATAGTTTCTATCAATTCTGGGAAGGGAAAAATAGTCTCTTGTAGCCTCATTCATATGAGATGGTTAGAGCCTGGATTTGGACAGAGGCAGTGGGAACAAAAGGGCAGTAGAGAATGGAAACATTCAAAAATAAAATTGACAAGACTTGGGGATCAATTGAGTATGTGTGCAGTTATAGATGACCAAGGTTTCTGCTAATGAATATCAGAGAAGGAGTCAATTTTGGACTTGTTGAATTTGATTTCATTAGCACTGTTTGGCAGTATTACTTAACTCTAGGTAGAACGTTCTGAATTTAGATTTCGAGTGTTTAATTAAGGTTTATCTTTTTTGAACTTTTAACCCATAGGAAGATGATTCTAAATCAACAGAAACTGTGGAAAAACAAAAAGTGAAAAGAATCAGGACTGCAAAAACAAAACAAGCGAGCAAGTATGACTTTTTCTGTGCCGTAATTTTTATCTCTTTTGTTTCTAAAAATTAGATTTGAGAAGAGCCTAATTAAAAAGGGAAATTAAGCTCATCAGAAAATGGTAATGCTTAGGGACATTTACAAGCGTTGACTCCTTAACGTTGTTAGATTTTATTGTTAAAAGTGGATTTTTCTATGCAGCGTGAAACCCATTCTGTTTAAGAAGGGTGATGAAATGGAGATAGTTTGGTACTTAATGGATCTTTCTGCTCGTGCAGTGGATGGGGGAGGGGAGTGGGGTGGTTCATTAACCTTTTAGTTAGTAAAGATGGGTAACTATTAGTAAAATTATAAACTTATAAATCCTGAATTATTTATGTATAATTGATTTTGTGTATATGTGGAAAACGGCTTCCTAATTGTCAAATTTGCTAATGCTGGTATTTGAGAATTGTCATTTTTCATAAGTTTCATGACTTGTTGGACTGTAGTTCATAGAGTGACTACTAGTACTTAGCCCATTCCTGTCACCCAGTAGTATTTATCAATTGTTGTTGTTGTTAGAGTCAGTCCTGACTCATGGTAAGCCCCCTGCGTGCAGAGTAGAACTGCTCCATAGACTTTTCAAAGCTGTGACCTTTTGGAAGCATATCACCAGGCCTGTCTTCCGAGGTGCCTCTGGGTGGGTCTGAACCACCAACCTTTGGGCCAGTAGTCAAGCACTTAACTGGTTGTACCACCCAGGGACCAGCTTGGGCTAGTATTTATTTATTAATATATATGAAATATTTAAAGGAAAATTCAGCAGTGATTGTTTTTAAACATCCAAATCAAAAAAAAAAATCTCCCCCAAGTGAAACCTTGGTTCTAATTCTAACTGCTTTGAATTAGCTTCACTTCACTTCTTAAAGCTGTTATCTCTTTTATAAAATGAAAGCACTAGACAAGGTAATTTCTAAGGTTTCTTTGAATATGTTGAGAATCCAATTATATTTCGTAATAAATATCGTTATGTTTACTTGAATTTTATCTTTTTTTTACAGAAAAACAGAAAAAGAAAGTTCTTGGTCACCTCCTCCAGTAGAAATTAAGCTGATTTCTCCTTTGGCAAGCCCAATTGATGGAGTAAAGAGCAAACCAAGAAAGCCCACAGAAGCAACAGGAAAAGTTCTTGGCAGGAGCAGAAAGAAACCATCTTCCTTTCCAAAGCAAGTTTTACGCAGAAAAATGCTGTAATTCTTTTCCAAGTTTTTAATATACACCCATTTGTAAAGTCATCAGAATTGTGTGGATTATTAAAAATCATCTAATTTGGAAGTAAATAATTTATATAAATTATTGTAAATTTTTGTAAACAAAAGATCTTCAATAAGTAAAGTAACTCCATATGGAGTGTGATTCTTTTAGTCACAGGCAGTTTTTCTATTTTATACTAAGACTTCATACCTTTATATAATATGTAAATATGGCTTAATATTGGAATGTTAAATAAAGTGTATACTTCACAATAGTTTGTGTCTGTAGATTTTTGAGAGGGGATTCCTGTTTTAATAAAGATTTTGTATGCTAGTAGACATTGATCCCTTTTTCTTTCTCTACACTTAAAAGTATTAAACCCATCTTAAAATAAGGACGATTTAACTGGTTTTTTTTTTTAAAGTTGCTATTTTATAATTTATGCACTTTGCTTCTGTGATTAAGATTTCTAATCAAAAAGTGGCTGTTAACTATGTTAAAATTGAATTATGGGCATGAAATTTTGCTGCCTTTTTGTAGTTTAACAGGTTTTGTGAAATCTACCTCAAGTAATACATTGGTTAACTATAATGTTGGCATTTCTTGTTCAGCAAACTCAAAGGCTGTTTATCTGTAAGGTCTCTTAATTATTCAGAGACTGAATTATCCAGGTTAGATTGACCGATTCACTGCTCACTGGCAATTTCGTGAAAGAGTTCGAGAAGGAAGAGAAATCTAAAGCAAATCTGTCTCGTGGTTATTCGGTGCACCTTGTATGTGCCTAATACTGGAACAATGAGAAATCTGAACAAATTGTATGATTCTTGCTCTGAAGGAACTTGCTACTGCATCATCAATATCTTTTAATATTCAGGTTTTAAAACTGGCAAATTTTTACGGGACTTCAGGCACAAGACTATTGAGGGTGGTAAAAGAATGGGAATAAATGTGGAAACAGGAAAGGAAAAAAAACAAAAACACCCTGTTTGCGGTCTGGCTGTGTGCAATTAAGTGGTGATACTTGATGTAGGCTATACATTCATCAATAAGTAAGTGTTGTAGAATAATTTATAGCAGGTAATTGATAGTGTGTAATGAATGGACCATTAATGATTGTCTAGGAACAAACTGCCTTTGTTGGTTAAGCTTTTAATGTTTTAGCTTGAAGCATAAGCAGTTTGCTTTAGACATTATTTTTCTACCAAATAATACAGATGAGAAAATGATGAAAATGCCTATGCCAAGTATTGACAGTGTGAAAGTAGCAGTACGAGTGCGGCCGTTTAGTCAGGTTAGTGATAAATGTTCCCTTGCCTTGTTGGAAATTTGACTATGACTTTAATTTTATTAATTTTTTTAATGATAGTTATCAAACTTGTATTTAAGCTGCTTGTCATTTATGGAATATTAAACTTATTTAACTGAACTTGTTAAATGTGTAATTTAAAATCAACATAATTCAGTAAACACTTCCATTCCTTTGTGCAAGTAGCACAATAAAAAGATTGATGAGAAAAATGTCCCGTCAAGTTAATCATTTTTTAAACCAGTGCAGTTTGGTGAATATAGATGTGTGATATCTATTTTCAATAAATTTACTTTTCCCCCCAAACTTCTGTATACAGTAAGTCGTAAGCAAACAGATGTCCAGTTCTGAACTCCGTATTTTAAATGCATTAGCTATATGACCTTTTTTTTAAAATATTGCTCATTGAAATGTGTTGCATTTTTAGGAAAAAACATGAAACATTTTAGGAAAAACCATGAATTTTACTCTTAGCAATTGCATATCTTTTGATTATCAATGCGTTGGTTAAATTTTAAGATAATTCTGAACAGTTGACTCATTTGACAAACTTTTGACTATCTGCTGTGAATCAAATGCTGTACTAGATACCAAGGATACAAAGGAAAATTCTTTGTTCTCCGTCAGCTTACAGTCTTATGTAAGTAAATAATGTATAGCGTGGTGGTAGGGTGAGTACTCTTGGTGCACAGAGGGAGGTCAGTTATACTTAATTCCTCTTGGAAAGAACTTGAAGGCTTCCCAGAGGCAGAACCATTTGATACATGACTATAAAGGAGATAAGATTTGAATAAGGGCATGCTAGACAGAGCAACATGCAAAGACTGATTTGACAATCACTGATCCTGACTAGGATACAATGTAACGATGAAGTTACACTGGGTCTTTCCCACTTGTACACCTTGCTGCTCTTCCTCTTTTGCCCACCATCTGCACGTTTTCAGTTGAGTATCGGTTCTTTCCTGTTCCTTGACATCTATATTGTAAAAAATACTTCAGCAACAAGGCATCTATACTGGCATGACTTCTCAAGGAACTGGTCAAAAAACGTCAAACAATTATCTGTGACCGGTGAATCAGATGTTTTGGCCAGAAAGAGAGAGAGAAAACCGTTTTATAACCTAACTCATGTACGGACTGAAAGTGGTTATTCCAGGGATCCTTTTATATGGGTCTCTAGTAGAGTAACTAATGGCAAGTTTTAAACAGCTAATACAAAGAATTTATAGGAGTGAGTACTAAAATAGCTACAGAGCCTTTAGGCCCCTTTATGAAAAGATTGCATTTTATTTAAGTCCAGCAGCAAAATTGATTGAGTTAGACTAGAGTAGGTGGCAAGGAAGGGAAAAGGATGAATTCAAGAGATAATTTGAGGAGAAATGGTCATGGATCACACCTGTACAACTGCATTACCTCTGACAAGATCTTGCTGCACCCAGTTTGTTTACATAGCAGAGAAAATCTTAAAATCGCGATCTTGTAATTCCCTGCTGAAAGCTTTCAAGTTGCTTAAAAACAAAATTTTACAGTTTACAAGGTCCTGGGTGATCTGGGGCCCTGCCTGATTTTCTAACCATATATCCAACCTTTTTATCTTTATTGTAGAATCAGACAACTAACTTTGTGGCAGCTTTTTGTAATAAATTCTCAGGAGCCTTTGAAGCAGTCAAATGCACTTGAGTTTAAAACTGAATAGCTTTAGGTAAATTTTTAAGCTCTGACCTCAGTTTCCTTATCTGTAAAATGGAGATACTGATACCTGTTGCTATTGTAAGGATTAAATGAGATAATAGCTGTAAATCTTTGACCACAGTGCCTGGCACATAAGTATATAAATATCAGCTGCTATAGTTTTTTTACCATAATTTATTTTAACAATTTTATTGAGATACAATTCACATTACCAGACCATTCATTTAACTGTACAATTTGGTGGTTTTTATACAGATATATGTAACCATCACCACAGTCAATTTTAGAACATTTTCATTATGTCAAAAAGAAACCCACTGGCTTTGAGCTATCGCCCGCCTATCCTTTGCCTTCCCCTATCTTCCCCTCCAGCCCTAAGGAACCACTAATCTATTTCTGTCTCTATAGATATCGCTGTTCTGGATATTTCATATGGATAGAATAATACGTGGTCTTTTGTGATTAGCTTATTTGCCTTTGCATGATGGTTTCAAGGTTCATCCATGTTGTAGTATGTATCAGTGTTTCATTTTTATGGCCAAATAATATTTCATTGTATAGATACACTATATTGTTTATTCATTTGTTGATAGACATTTGGATTGTTCTGCCTTTTGGCTATTATGAATAATACTATAAACATGTACAAGTTTTTGTGTGGACATGTTTTCATTTCTCTTGGACATATATCTATGAGTGGAATTGCTCGATCATATGGTAACTCCATATTTAATCATTTGAGGAACTGCCAGACTTTTCCAAAGCAACTGCACCATTTTAAATTACCACCAGCAGTGTATGAGCATTCCAGAACCTCCACATCTTTTCCAACACTTGTTATTATCTTTGATTCTAACTATTCTAGTGGGTGCAAAGTGGTATCATTGTGGTTTTGATTTGCTGATGACTTCTTAAAAGATTGAAAATCTTTTCATGCGTCTATTGGCTGTATGCCTTCCTTGGAGAAATGTCTGTATGGGTCATTTGCCCATTTTTTAATTATTTTGTCTTTTATTAATTGAGTTCTTTATTCTAGATACAAGTTCTTGTTAGGTATATAATTTGAAAATATTGTCTCCTTTTCTGTGGGTTGTCTCTTCACTTTCTTGATGGTGTCCTTTGAAAACAGAAGTTGTAAATTTTGATGATGTCTAGTTTATTTTTCTTTTGTTGTTCGTACTTTTGGTGTCATGTCTAGGAATTCTTTGCCAAATTTATGATCACGAAGATTTACTGTATTTCCTTCTAAGATTTTCATAGTTTTAGCTTCTACAATGGTCTTTGATCCAGTTCGAGTTAATTTTTGTATATGGTATGAGACAAGGATCCAACTTCATTCTTTTACATGTGGCTGTCCAGTTACCCGGCATCTTCTGTTTAAAAAATAGTCTTCTTTAAACTGAGAAGATGGTCTTAACACCTTTTTTGAAAATAAATTGACCATTAAAAAAAAAAAAAACCCATTGCTTCCAAGTCAATTCTGACTCATAGCGACCCTGTAGGACAGGGTAAAACTGCCCCATAGGGTTTCCAAGACTGCAGTCTTAAGCGGGCTGCCACATCTTTCTCCCGTGGAGCAGCTGCTAGGTTTAAACCGCTGACCTTTTGGTTAGCAGCTGAGTGCATAACCACTGCACCACCAGGGCTCTTCCATAGACATATAATTTATTTCTGTACTCAATACCATTCTATTGATCCATATGTCTTTCTGCCAGCAGCACAATGTCTTGATCACTTGTTTTGTAATAAATTTTAAAGTTATTGTTAATGTGCCCTCAAGTCATTTCCAACTCATAGCGGCCCCATGTACAACAGAATGAAACACTACCCGGTCCTGCACCATCCTCACAATCGTTTCTCTGAGTCCATTGTTGCAGCCACTGTGCCAATCCATCTTGTTCCTCTTTTTCACCAACCCTCTACCAAGCATGATGCCCTTCTCCAGGGACTGGTCCCTCCTGATAACATGTCCAAAGTAAGGGAGACGAAGTCTTGCCATCCTCCCTTCTAAGGAGCGTTCTGGCTGTACTTCTTCCAAGACAGATTTGTTCCTTCTTCTGGCAGTCCACGGTATGTTCAATATTCTTTGCCAACACCATAATTCAAAGACATCAAAGACATCGTCTATTCTTTTTTGGTCTTTGTTATTCATTGTCCAGCTTTCACGTGTATGAAGCAATTGAAAATACCATGGTTTGAGTCAGGCACACCTTAGTCCTCAAAGTGACAGCTTTTTAACACTTTAAAGAGGTTTTTTGCAGCAGATTTGCCCAATGCAATACGTCATTTAAAATTAGTAAGTTTTCAAATTAGATGCGTGAATCCTACTTTGCTTTTCTCAAGATTACTTTAGCTATTGCCGCACATGGAATTCTACAAAGAAGTCAGCTAGGATTCTGGTAGGGATTGCATTGAATATGTGGATCAGCTGGGGAGCATTGCCATCTTAATAATGTTCAGTCTTCAATCCATGAATGTGGCATGTTTTTCCCATTGTTTAGATCTCTGATCTTTCAACAATGTTTTGTAGTTTTCCGAGTATAAGTTTTGTTCCTTTGTTAAATTTATTCCTAAATATTCTTTTTGATGGTATTGTATGGGATTTTTTTAATTTCATTTTTGGATTGTTACAAGTGTATAGAAATGAATTTTTTTTATATTAATTTTGTATCCTGCAACCTTGTTGAATTTGTTTTTTGGAGCCCTGATGGCGTACTGGTTAAGTGCTCAACTACTAACCAAAAGGTTGTCAATTCAAATCCACCAGTTGCTCCTTGGAAACCCTACGGGGCAATTCTACCCTGCCATATAGGGTCACTATGATTCAGAATCATTTTTCTATATACGAGATCATGTGATCTGCACTTGGGGATAGCTTTACTTCCTCCTCTTCAATTTGGATGCTTTTTATTTCTTTTTCAAGCCAGTTGCCCTGGCTAGAACCTCTAATACAGTGTTGAATATAAGTGGCAGCAGAAGACATCCTTGTCTTATTTCTGTTATTAGGAGGAAAACATCCACTCTTTCAACATTAAGTATGATGTTAGCAGTGAGGTTTTTTGTAGATATTGAGGAATTTCCCTTCTAAGTGCAGTTTGTTGAATGTCTTTTATCATGAAAGGGCATTGGGCTTTGTCAAATGCCTCTGTGTCTGTTGAAATGATCATGTGTTTTTCTTGTGATATGATGTCATATTGATTTCCAGATGTTGATCCAATCTTGCATCCCTGGGATAAATCCTATTTGGTCATGATGTATAATTATTTTTATATGTTGCTGTATCCAGTTTGCTAGTATTTTGCTGAGGATTTTTGTGTTTGTGTTTATAAGAGACATTGGTCCATAGTTTTCTTTTCTTGTGATCTCTTTATCTGGTTTTGATACAGGATAATACTGGCCTCATAAAATAAGTTGGGAAGCATCCCGTCTTCCATTTTTTGGAAGACTTTGTGAAGAATTGGTATTAATTCTTAAATGTTTGATAGAATTCATCAATGAAGCCATCTTGGCCTGGACTTTTCTTCTTGGATAATTTTGTTGTTGTTTTATTCTGTTTTTAATTACTACATCAATCTCTTCACTTATTAAAAGCCTAATGAGATTGTCTATTTCTTCTTAGTCACATTCAGTAATTTGTGTCTTTCTAGGAATTTGTCCATTTTGCGTAAGTTATCTAAGTTGTTTACTTACAATTGTTCTTAGCATTCCTTTATACTTTTTTATTTCTGTAAAGTTGATAGTAATGTTCTCTCTTTCATTTCTGATTTTAGTAATTTGAGTCTTTTTTACTTGGTCAATCTAAAGATTTGTTAGTTTTGTTGATTTCATTGATTTTCTCTATTTTTCTATTGTCTGTATCATTAATTTCTGCTCTTTATTATTTCCTTCTTTCTGTTTGCTTTAAAGTTTAGTTTGTGCCTCATTTTCCAGTCTTAAGGTGGAAGGTTAAGTTATTGATTTGAGATCTTCTTTTTTAATATAGGCATTTTCAGCTATAAATTTCCCTCTAAGCACTGCTTTAGCTTAATCCAGTTGGTTTTGGTATGTTGTATCTTCATTTCCATTCATCTCAAAGTATTTTCTGATTTCTCTTTTTATTTCTTTTTGACTCATTGGTTATTCAGGAGTGTGTTGTTTAGATTCCACATCTCTGAAATAAATCCTTTTTTTTTTTTTTCTGCTATTGATTTTTAATTTCATTCCACTGTGGTTGGAGAACACGCTTTGTATTATTTCTATCCATTTAAATATATTGAGAGGTTTGTTTTATGGCTTAGCATATCATTTCTCCTGGAGAATGTTCCAAGTGCATTTGAGAAGAATATATATTCTGTTGCTGGGTGGAGTGTTCTATATATGTCTGTTAAGTCCCGCTGGTTTATAGTGTTGTTCAAATCTTATATTTCCTTGTTGATCTTCTGTCTAGTTGTTCTGTCCATTGTTGAAAGTGATGTTTTGAAGTCTCCAACTATTATTGTTGTCTGTTTCTACTTTCATTTGTCAATTTTTGTGTCATATATTTTGGTGCTTTGTTATTAGGTGTATATATGTTTACAATTGTTATAGCTTCCTGATGGATTGACACTTTTATCGTAAAATGTCCCTCTTCAATGACTTTTTGTTTTAAAGTCTATTTTGTCTGATATCAGTTTAGTCACGCCATCTTCCTTGTGATTGCTTTTTGCATAATATATCTTTTTCCATACTTTTACCTTCAATACAGGAGACCTGGTATCACAGGGGTTAAAGCACTCAGCTGCTAATTGAAAGGTTGGAAGTTTGAACCCACCAGTCACTCCGTAGGAGAAAGATGTGGCAGTCTGCTTCCATAAAGATTTACAGCCTTGGAAACCCTTTGGGAGAGTTCTACTCTGTCCATTAGGGTCACTATGAGTCAGAATCAACTCTATGGCAGTGGGTTTGGTTTAGTTTGGTGTGAAAAGGATCAGCATGAATCCCATTCCCAAAATGTGGAGATTGTCTTAGTCATCTAGTGCTGCTATAACAGAAATACCACAAGTGGATGGCTTTAACGAAGAGAAGTTTCTTCTCTCACAGTCTAGTAGGCTACAAGTCCAAATTCAGGGTATCAGCTCTAGGGGAACGCTTTCTCCATTGGCTCTGGAAGAAGGTCCCTGTTGTCAATCTTCCCTTGGTCTGGGAGCATCCCTGTGCAGGAACCTCAGGTCCAAAGTACGCGCTTTGCTCCTGGTAGTGCTTTCTTGGTGGTATGAGGTTCCCATGTGTCTCTGCCAGCTTCTCTCTTTTGTATCTCAAAAGAGATTGGCTTAAGGCACTAATCTGGTCAACCTCATCAATATAACTGCTGCTAATCCATCTTACTACATCATAGTGATAGAGTTTACAACACATAGGGAAATCACATCAGATGATAAAACGGTGGACAATCATACAATACTGGGAATCATGACCTAGACAACAGATATTTTGGGGGGACACAATTTGGTCCATGACAGAGATTGATCCAGTCCTCACATTCACACTTCTCCCCCTTTGTCACCAGCCACCCTGCAGCACTTTCTGACCTAGCCACCCAGAGTTAGGTCAGAAATCACAAATTAAAAGGACACTGTCCTTCAGACTGCCAAGTAGGCAGATGCCAGTCACAAGTTTGGGGAGTCCACATGACACCCCAGCCTTCTGAACTGCTGTCCACAAGTTCGGGGCTGGTTTTCCACTACCCCTTGAGTATGCCGGCCATAAGCTCAGGAGCCTACACGACACCCTTTTTGACCTGTTGGCTCCTATTACCTCCGTGGGTTCAATAATTCACTGGGAACGACTCACAGAAGTCACAGACAGAATACCATATTTACGACTACAGATTATAGTCCAAAAGGATTCAAGTGAAGAGACCAGATGTAAGATTTATCAGAAAAAGACTTTCAAGTAGCCATTATAAATCAATTCACATAACTAAAGGAAACCATGATTGAATTAAAGGAAGGTAAGATGACAATGTTACATAAAATAGAGTTTATCAATAAAGAGAGATTATAAATAAGTACCAAGTGGAAATTCTGGAGCTGAAAAGTACAATAACTGAAGTAAAAAAATAACTACAGGAGCTCAACAATAGATTTGAACTGGCAGAAGAAAGAATAAGCAAACTTGAAGCTAGATCAATAGAGATTATGCAAACTGAAGAAGAGAGAGAAGAAAAATGAAGAGTACATTAGTCTATTTCCTCTCCACAATGTTAAGCCTCTGATTTTGCCCACAGACACCCTGGGATGAAAGTTGTTTTGCTAGGGCCCCCTTCCTGTTTTCCTGACCATGCCCAGATGTTTAACTCCACTGATTGCTGGCTGATTGCTCTATTGTTTTCAACAATGCTCTGGGCCTCTACAAACTAACCAAATTCTGCCTCTCTTAAGGAATAGTTTCTGGTGTCAGTGTGTGATGTTTATTTTGATACCAGGAGGGCTTTTCCCAGCTGTCTTATTCCTCATATTATTTCCTGGTTCTCTCCTGCTAACCAACAATTTAGCATTTATCTTGACTCCCTCAATTGCTTTTCACCAAAAACTCCACTGTTCTTGAGAGTGCCTTAGGCTTCCACTTTGCCACCCTCTGTTGCAAATGAAGTCAGTTCTTTTGGGAAGAGATTAGGAGTTATATATTTTATGGCCTGCTTCCCCCTGCCCCAAGGCAAGATCTCTAAATCAAGGCTGTGGAGCTGAGGTAGGGACAATAGCAACCCCTGCTCTAGAAGCTAAGTGCTCAGTGGAGGGAGCAGCAGCCTGACGTTCTTTCAGCTTGTCTCTTCTATCCCAGGACCACTTCATGAGCTGAAGCAAGGGTGATCATTGCGCCAGTAGTTTCCACATGCTATACCCGAGGTAGAGCCTCCATCCAATGAGTAGGGGCTGGTTAGAAGAGGGGCCTCTTGCCCTCACTCACGTGGGACAGCTTCAGCAACAGGTAGCTGAGGGAACAATGAGAAACACTGACATCCTGCTCCTCCTGTGGAGAAGACCTGCTGACCGGGAGCTGGAAATAGAGGGAACTGTGTGTTTTTGGCTGTTGTTGTAGGGGAAAAACATCACAAAGTTTAGTAAAGTAAAAAGAAATTTTTATTTGGCATATATTCTAAAGGACAAAAGTGGGAAGTGGACAAGCATGCTACCAGAGCTAGAATGTCTGCCTGAATCCAAGGAAGGTTACAGAATCATCAGTATATATCAACATCACAAAATGGGTAGAATCATTGAAAGCATCACTTTTTCACTGATTGACTAGAAATTGTAATCTTACATTTTGAATCATCTTTCTTAATCATTGGTACAGGTTTCAGTTATGAAAGTAAGGAGGGTCTTCATTGGTCCAACAAATTCCTATTCACTAAATATTAATAGAAAAAGACAAAAGGTGAGAAGGCCTTTGTGTTAGGTTTTATTGCCCTTTTGTGAAGACTTCCTTAAGAATTTCTGAGATTGTCCCATCTATTGTCTTATCTCAGGGCCCAGTTGATGTGTCTTTGTGAGTCCGTGAGGGCCCAGACCCAGCTGGGTCACATTTCTCCATGCTCGCTGTCAGGGAACAATGATTCCAAATATTATTTTCTAAATCACTGTAGAAGTATCAAATGGAATCTCCACCTCCCTAAGCTGGGAGGAGAAAGGGAATCAGTTGTCTTGCTTCAAATACCATAGACTCTGGCCTTACTGAATTTTGTAGGTTTTCTTGAATAAATGTTTCTTCATTTGCTGTTGGCCCTTAGGACCATTTCCAGAGGCTTTAAATTGTTTCATTTTTACAATAATTTTCACCATTTTTAGTGGAGAGCAGGTCAGTAGAGCTGGAAATTGATCTCTCCACTGCTGTGGTTATAGATACTAGTATTATAGTTGTGCATTGAAGAGCAGGCTATCCTCAGAAAGTTAATAAAACTAGAGACAAGTCTTTCAAAAATCTGAGGGAGTATGAGAGCAACTGCTTATCATGACAGCTGCTAAGAATAACACAACTAGAGAACAAAACAAATGATGAATTCCTGGCTTAATTTCTTACTAAGTAAAAAGACTTGCAAAACAATTACCTTGGATGAGGGAAAAAAATGATAATGATTGATTGTGAATTTGTAATTTGACTACAGAGAGAGAAGAATTCTGGGAGCAAATGTGTGATTTCCATGCATTCCAGGACCACTACCACTATACAGGACCCCAAGAATCCAGAGCGTGTGAGGATATTCACTTTTGACCTGGCCTATTGGTCTCACAATGGATTTCAAAGGGATAAAGATGGTGTACTTAGCTGACCCTAGCAGTAACTTTGCAGGCCAGGTAAATTACTTTAAAACACAATTTCGGTGACAGCTTTTTTTTTTCTTGTTGTACTTTAGGTAAAGGTATACAGGCAAAAAAATTTCTCATTAAACAATTAATACGTATATTGTTTTGTGACATTGTTTGCTAACACCAACATGTCAACACTCTCCCCTTTTTGACCTTGTGTTCCCCATTACCAGCTCTCCTGTCTCCTCCTGCCTTCTTGTCCTTGCCCCGGGCCGGTATGCCCATTTAGTCTCATTCTGTTTTATAGGCCTGTCTAATCTTTGGCTGAAGGGTAAACCTCAGTAGTAACTTCATTACTGAGCTATAAGTGTGTCCAGGGGCCATACTCTCGGGGTTTCTCAAGTCTCTGTCAAACCAGTAAATCTTGTCTTTTTGTGTGAGTTAGATTTTTTTCCTACATTTTTCTCCAGCTCTCAGTGACAGCTTTTTTTGATGAAATATTCACAATGTCACAGTACAGTTATTTTTATATAAGCATGCTACATCATATGCTTCCATATGAGAGTTTGTCTCTAAATTTATATATTTTTTATGTTTAGCATGAAATCCAAAAATGCAGTTTGTTGCCTGATTTTCAGACACCCAAATCAGTTGACTTGCCGTCTTAGTCATCTAGTGCTGCTCTAATAGAAATACCACAAGTGGATGGCTTTAACAAAGAGAAATTTATTTCCTCACAGTAAAGTAGGCTAAAAGTCCAAATTCAGGACGTCAGCTCCAGGGGAAGTCTTTCTCTTTCAGTCAGCCTTCTCCTCAATCTTCCCTGGACTAGGAGCTTCTCTGCACAGCGACCTCAGGTCCAAAGGACGTGCTCTGCTCTCAGCACTGCTTTCTTGGTGGTATGAGGTCCCCAACTCTCTGCTTGCTTCCTTTTCCTTTTATCTCTTGTAAGATAAAAGGGGGTGCAGGCCACACCCCAGGGAAACTCCCTTTACATTGGATCAGGGATGTGACCTCAGTAAGAATGTTACAATCCCACCCTATTTCTCTTTAACATAAGATTACAATCACAAAATGGAGGAATACCAAACAATACTGGGAATCATGGCCTAGCAAAATTGATACACACAGTTTTTTTTAGGGGACATAATTTAATCCATGACGCTTGCCAAGGCATTGACACACTTGGAAAAATGAATGGAAGTCAAGTTAATTGTATTTTGTCTCTCTGAGCTAAGCAAAATTTGTGAGGCACCAGCATTTGAGAACTTTTTTTTTTAATCAAGCATTTCTCATGTGCCATGCATGGTTACAGCTCTTTCTTCAAGTTGCTCACAGTCTGGTATGGACAGGCAGACATATAGATACATTAAAATATTACAGATTCTGTGATAAGAATTTGTATAGGTTCCAATGAGTTGCATAGGGGAAGTAGTCATTTCAATCTGCACAAAGGGTATTTTCAGCGACATTCTAATAAAGGCTATGGCACTTGGGCTGAATTTTGAAAGAGGAGTAGACAAAGAAGAACAAAGAGAAAAAGTGGGGAAAGACGAACAGAGCCTCAGTGATCTGTGAGACGATGTCAAGCATACATGTAATTGGAGTCACAGAAGGAATAAAACAAAAGATACTTGAAGAAATGATGGCTGAAACTTTTCCAAATTTGATGAGAACTATAAGCCCATAGATCCAAGAAGCTCAATGATCCCTAAGTAGAATAAAAATAAAGAAAACCACAGCAAAGCACATTTTAATTAAATTGCTGCAAGCCAGTGATAAAGGGAGAGCTCTTATTCAACAATGTTCTGGAGGTCCTAGCCAGAGCAATTAGGCTAGAAAAAGAAATGAAGGGCATCCAAATTGGTAGGGAAGAAGTAAAAGTATCTCTATTTGCAGCTGATATGATCTTATACACAGAAAACCCCAAAGAATCCACAAGAAAACTACTGGAACTAATAGAAGATTTCAACAAAGTATCAGGATACAAGATAAACACAAAAATGACTTGGATTCCTCTACACCAACAAAGAGAACCTTGAAGAGGAAATCGCCAAATCAGTACCATTTACAATAGCCCCC